CTATGCTCGAGAGGTCGCAGCCCGGGGACGCCTGCTCGCGCTGTTTCGTGCGTTGAGAGATATCAGTTTGGATGAGTTGCGAGAGGCAACCTCACGAACGCCGAAGACACAACTGCACGAACACACTTCACGAACTATTCACATCATGCCATCCAGAAACACCTCTACGGAAGAAAATCCTGCGCCACGCTTTCGGGGAAAAGTAGGAAAATCAGCTATGTTTGGCTATATAAGGTGCTACTGAACTCCCCAGTCGAAAGCACAACCTGACATGATACGATCCGACAAGCATGAACGCAGCACAACCACGCTGACCCGCAAACCTTGCTGCTACGGCATCTTCAGCCCTACTTGGAGGATCATGGGACTTAGTAAGTAAGGTTATAAGTACCCTAATTGGGGTTATAAGTATAGTTACCCTAATTATAACCCTATTTACTAAGTCCCATGATCCTTTAAGTACCTGTACGTTGCACTTCAGAATCCCTGAACTCCACAGCAAAAGCTCAAGTTGTACAAGCTCTAGGCTACTGGGGCAGTTTGGTTTCAGCTCTAGGCTACTGGGGCAGTTTGATTTCAGGGGTTCTTCAGGGCTGTAGGCTTTGGGGCTGGGGTTTTCAAACGGGAGTTTCAAATGGTTTTCACATGATAAAAGCCGTGCAGGGGTGCTTTGTAGTCCTTTCGATAAGGTCTGGACCAGTGCGCTTCTACCTGGTCAGGAGGCCACGGGTGTTTCAAGATTCTGTTCATGGGCCTGATGGGTAGTCGTACGTCGAGGTTCGTTTATCTCGAAAGTCTGGGATGGGCACTGGTATTCCAGCTGCACCATGAGAGTTTGCCCAAGTGAAAGGAGCTCCAAACCCAGATTGGTCGCAGACCATGAGCCCTGAGCCTGCCCTTGCACTTGACGAGTTTCCCATTGTAGATGTCTATCTGAAATCCAAAGCCGCAAGCGTCTGGCAGACTCAGTCAGGGGAAGTTCCACAGTAAGCCCCTTTGGGTCCCTGAAACATCGGGACTTGCTTCGATGGCTTCGTTGTAATTATGCTCATGGAGTTGCGATCCCCGAACTCCAAAACCCTAAACCCCTAAACCTGGAATCCTCGCTGTGGTTTGTCCGAGAGTGAGTGCTGAAACCCCTAAGCCCCTAGACCCTACCCCTGAAGCATCGGAGGCTCACTGACATGAGGCGCTACCCACAAGACCATAGGCTCCTGTGCGGCACCATGCAGCCTGCTAACCCCAAAGTCAAGAAACTGCACCTTAAACACTAAAGTCACTAAAAACTCTCAAACCTGAACCACGGACCACTACTCCTTGAATCTCACACTCTGGACCTGAAGTGCTATTCCGGACGGCTAGTTGAGCCAAGAGAGTATATGGGAGTTTCCGAAAACAGGGGTACCATATTAGGGTCCCCTATTTTTCAGAGAATTCTTATATAGAAAGGTGCTACCGGCCGAGCATGCGGCCGTGTCCTGAGCGGGAAAGAAGGACTCGGCGGCACTACTAAGATCCCTTAAAGGAATCCCTAGGGTTCCTCCTAAACCCTAAACCCTACTTGGAGGTTCATGGGTAGTTATAAGCAGGGTTATAAGTAGGGTAACTATACTTATAACCCATGTTAGGGGACTTATAACCGACTTACAACTACCCATGAACCTCCAAGTAGCTTTTTCCTGTGGGAAGGTTGAGGTTTGTGTTTTCAGGGAGTGACCGCAGATGTGAGCTTTCTGCCGGTTGCATCAATTTTGTCGATTCTGGCATTGTAACGGTGGTCAGAAAAGTCATAGAACCCGAAATGCTTAATCACTTCACTACAGCTCCCCCCTCCCGTCCTTCGCTTCCTCCTCCTCCACCTCCTACTACTACGACAACGACCGCACCGCGACGACGACCAAGGCCTATGCCCTCGAGGGTTTGGCAGACCAGTTTGGCGTCCGCCTTGAGCTCGAGGCCTTTGTGTGCACTGGAGGTCCAAGAGACCTCAGGTTCTGTCCTGTGCGGGTTGTGATTACGTAGGGTACTGCAAGATCTAGCACGAAGATAACATTTTAACTAGGGTGCTGTAGGCTTGTGTGGGGTGTCAGAGTTCCCGTTTTGGATCAGTAATGCTTTCTGTCAGATCAGGGTTGCAATTAATCACTTCCCCCTATTATTAAACCCCCCCTACTATTAAAACTAAACCTCCGAAATCCAGTTTTAATATTAAGGGGGCGAGGGGCGTTTAATATTAGGGGGAAGAGATTATGGATTCCGGATTTAAGCAGTGCCTGAAGCCTGGATGTGAAGTGCAGGAGGCTGGGCATGCGGCATGTGCACTGCGAGCTTCCATTAGAAACGGATTTAGGGTTGCGCATGCAATTTCCCGTAGACGCGTGTTGTGATGGTTATTGGTCTGCATCCTGGGCGCTTTTAAGTCTCGGTAGTGGCCGTCGACTACCCAGCCGTTTCAGCCGTCGGGCTTCCTGCAGTGCCGTTTGAAGTGAAGTGCTTTTGGTGTGGGCCATGGAATTGGCAGATCTTTTTGGAGTGGCCTCTTGGTAGCAAGCTTCTGGTTTCCTTTGTATTTCTGTTCAGTTTCAGTAGACCTACATATGGCTGTGCAACCTTACTTGCCGGGTGGCGACGCAAGTCGGTGATTTCAATTGGTTGCAGACAGACTCAGCTGTGATGCGACCTAAACCGGAAAACCCCTGAGCCCTAATCCCTGAACACACATCGAGAAGTGCACCATGTCAAACCCTAAACCGGAAGCCCTCAAACCTAAGCCCTGAACCCTAAACCCTAAACCCTAAATCCCTAAACCTAAACCCCTGAACCCCTAAACCCTAAACCTGGATATCCCTAAAACCTAAACTCCTAAACACTAAACCCCTAAACCCTAAATCCTTAAACCCTAAACCCTACAGCCCAAATCCTCCAAAGCTCAGGCCGGCAAGAATGTGCTGGTCACCGGCGGCGGCCGCGGCATCGGTGAGATGATCGCGGAAGGCTGCGTGCTCGTTTTGTTTGCAGGTGTTCTTTTTGCTCTTGTGTCAATTTTTATCATGATTTTTCTTATTGTAGATACTATTATGTGTGTGTATATATATATATATATGTATAGTAATCTTCGGGTCTTCATAGTCTGGAGACTGCTCAGCCGTTTTACTAGGTTGCCAGGGCTTTTGAGGCGCATGCAACGCGGAAGGCTGACAGACTTTCCAACGGGTCACATACTGTTGATGGGCAAAATCCTGCATGACCCAAAGGACTCTAAACTATGGGAACTATTGTATATTCCGAAAAAAGGGTAATGCAGGATTTTGTCCATGAGCAGTATTGACCCGTCGACAGTTGCAAGGCTAACCCTAAACCCTAAACTTTTAGAGCGACCGAGAATCTTACGCCTCAACTCCTGTTGTTTAATTCTCCCGTCTACTGCATTGCCCCACAATTTTCAGGCATATCAACCTGGAGCTCGCAACCCTTCGGTTCTCAACGAGCGGCAAACCTTGGCCCCAGCAGGAAACTTTGAAGAGAACCTATGACTATGAGATATAAGCATCTGAAGTAGAAGTAATGTCTATACACGTACCCCCTTATAGTCAATATGGCCCCAGGTCGCACTGTAGTAGAGATGCGCCAAAGAGCTATTCCAGTTGGTACCCTTCCTATATCACCCCTTGAAGATGCCAGAGGATTGGTCGTGAACCGGTGCTTCGTCATCATCAGTTCACGGGATGCAAAGCAGTGCGAAGCAACCGCGTCACGTCACGGGCCTCAGTCATACGTGGCTTTGTTTATGCCGGGTCCTGTGACAGGTTGCTTTGGAATTCAGGAGGGCTTCAAGGCTCTTGATTTTGTTTGGGGTGGATTCTATTGAAAACGTGCCGTGACTCAGTACTTCGCTTCTTCGAACCCGTAGCCGAAGTCCTAAAACTTCGAAACGACACACCTCAAGAGGATTGTCCCGTTTTTCGAGGCCGAGATACCCCTTTCATTTGCCATCCTGCGAACTGGCAAAGCATTTTGCCATCGTCAGTTGCACTCAGGCACTCAGCTTTGGAACCTGGGCTTGCCGCGCTTTATCATCGATAAACATCGTAGTTTCTTCGTCGAGGTTTTCGAAACGCTTCGATCTTCGAAGACGGTGGTTTCGGGGTCCTTTGAGCCACGAGGGCACCCGGCCCGCAAGGCCCAACAACACACCTTCAAGCGCAGAAGGCTTTTCTTGATAAGACGGCAGGCAAGTTGACTTTGTAGTTCCTCTTTTTGTTCCGCCTCAGCTGAGTCTTACTACTACTGCTACTACTACTGCTGCTACTACTCCTAGTACTACTACGACGACTACTACGACTACTACGACTACTACGAATACGACTACGACGACGACGACTGCTACTGCTGCTGCTGTTACTGCTGCTGTCATGCCAAGGTCTGAATGCGCTGGGGAAAGGAAAATGTGTGGCTTTTGGCAGCGATTTGGCCTCGCCTGCTGGGGTCGAGGCAGAGCGAGGGCACTTGGGTTTGGCCTTTTGAGGGCTGTGCAAGGTTTGACCGCAGGAATAGTTAGTAGTAGCATTTCTTTCGTCATGCTTCTGCATTGTATCCCTAGTGAGGCCCTAGTGATTAACACCACACTGAAACCAGACGATTCTGCAATACGCCAGCTGAAGAGCAGGCATCTCCCTAAGCCCCAAAACCGCAAAACCCGCAACGTACAAACCCATAAGCCTCCCGGAAGGGGGATGGCCACAGCAGTACTGTTTCCACGAGCGAACGACCGACAGAAAAGCATCTTAACAGCTTGCTGTACAAGTTCCTATACACTTCTGTCTTTTGTCGAGAAGGTGCTTTACCCCCCAATAAGCAGAGCAACATGTTTCTTCTTCTATACAACTACTTTCTACTCTATCTTCTTCTTCTTGCATCCAGAGCCTGAGCATCGGCTTACCTGATCTCCGCTCCCCCTGCTGGCATGGCCGTTGCCGTGCCTGCAAACTCCACGTGGCTCATCAATACCGCCGGTGCTGATGCAGGAAGTCATCCTGTCCAGGTCCTGCTGCCGAGAGCCTGCTTCCCCAGACCGACCGCTGCTGATCGATGTCCCGTAAAGGAACCCTAACCGGCACTTGCCAATCTTCCGTGATTGCAGGAGCAACCATACGATCGGGATGAAGGCCAACGACACCCGCCCTTGGGCCTTGGGTCCCAAAAAACTGAGGATTATTAGCCCTAATCGCCTGTTGTCTAGCCTCTTCGAAACTCAACACTCGCACGTGTGGGGCAGGGCGGTCGTCCGAAGGACTTACAGGGATTTCAACAGCATCGTCCAAATACCTGATCACTCGAGTGGGCACCTGCTGAGATGCCGGTTCAAGTTCCGGCTCAGTGGTTTGAACTGGTAGTCCTCGACGCCTAGCTCTCAAACGACTCTCTCTCTCCTCTCTGAGCTCTGTCTGCATCTGCAGTGCTTCTACATGGTCCTCAGGTAAAGGCTCTTGTAAATCCGGCCTTCGCAGCCGAGCTAGAACCGCCGAAAGAGTCCTAATCCCAAACTTCAGCCCTTCCCAACAGCACACGACCGTAACTACGACCCCTATCCAGAACATCCATTCGATTCCGTCATCATCAACCTCAGTGGACCGGTGTCCTTCAGCTTGGCAAACCATACATGCCAAAAGCACAACCTGCAAACACTTCAACGTGGCCTTCGACAGACCCTGGCTCTCCTTCGGGTTGTGGACTGAAGTGTTTCCTATCTCTTGAACTCCGATCAGACTGCACAGATACTTTACGCGTTGAGCTCCCAAAGGCTTGGTACCTAAATCAGCTCCGTTCTGCAACCCCTCAATGTGGCTAATCATGTAAAACCCCATTTCCCACCGCTCGCGCATCGTGCGAGCTTTGATTCTCAACGACCTCGTTCTCCAATGGGAGTTTTGCCCTACGAAGACAGATACGGCTGCTTGATTATCATTGTAGATGTGGACGCGCGGCGCTTTCTGGGCCAATTCCGCCAAGAGGTAGACATGAGCCTGTGCAAAGCAACATCCTGTAGCCGTTGCTAAGGGCTCAGTCTCACATGAGCTTTGAGTCATATAAGCCTGGCGCGTGACATGCCAACCAACAAGGCAGTTTTCAACGAACAACAAGCAGCATTCATTAGAGCGTGACGCATCCGGTGCAAATGAACTGTCCGTGAGCACTTCCAGCAGGTTGTTACATCCAACCTCCTTTCGTCCCGGTCTTGGGCCGCTCGGATCAGAACACAAGTACACCAATCCAACATTCGCAGAATCAACCAGGTAAGCAAGCACATGCAACCCCAGTTGGTAAGTTCTGGACGGGTCACGATTCATCCACTGCGCAAGTTTGGATATCGAAAACGACACATCTGGACGCGTACGCACACTGACCCACAGGATTTCGCCAATCAAACGCTGACACTTACGAAGTACACTGCTGTCAATGTTCTCCACTGCTTCCGGCTCCATTACCCCTGGTCCCAACGGGGTCCCGCAATGCTTAACCTTCTGAAGCTCATGGGAGTACCGATCCGCAAGGTCTTTAATGTACGACTCCTGCCAGATAAGCAAATTGCGCTCAGACGACCAAGCCAACTGCAACCCAAGAAATCGCAACGGCTTACACAAATCGGCGGTCAACCATTCTGGGTCTCCACATTTCCACATAGTGGTAATAGTCTTCAGCAACAACTTAACCAATTCACAGCACGCAGCGATAATAAGGTCGTCTATGTACACTCCAATCCAACCCCAAACCGAAACTCCAGACTCCTCATGCTGATCAAGCCCTAGACCCGATCTGCTCCAGCATCTTTCCGGTTCGCTCTCGGCGATAAGCCAGAGATTGGGGTCCGCAAACGATTGAAACAATCTGAGCTCCTGATCTTTATACTTCACGACTACCCGCCTCAGCGAGAAATCTCGACTCAGGCTCCAGTCTCTAGGACTAGTGTCAAGTCCGTAAATCGCCTTGGCCACCTGCCAAAGGGTGTTTTTGCCGACTAAGCCCCGCTGCACCAAACAACGCGGAGGGATTAAGATCACGATTTCATCGATTGGTACGCTCTCTCCCTGCGCAGCCGCCGCAGCGGCTTGCTCCGCCTTGGCCCTCGCCCTCGGTAAAAGCTCCGCATTAAGAAATGCGGTCCTAATGTCAGTGATGGCTATCTCATAGGAACGTCTCGCAGCTACTGCCAAGGCACATCGAAGGTGTGTGACATCAAGGGAAGAGGCAAACACAGCATCCTTGTGATCCTGCCGACTTTCATCCTTCGAGGGTGCCATGTTTCCACACGCCACTATTCGACATTTATGCCGACCATCCGGAGCCTTAATTGTCCACACAGCCTTAGCAGGGATGGTGATTACTCGTTTTCCAGAGTCTTTCCACCGCTGCACTTGTTTCCAATCAACTGGAATCAAGGCGCGCTTCTCATCCACCAAGGCCGAAATCTCCTTGTTTGCAGGATGCTCCCAAACTTCCCAGTTCGCCAGGACCTCCGGCAGAGATACAGTTCGGGTCTGCAGCACCGTGTCTGTACCATCATCCTCAGACGCACGCGTGGACACCTCAACCGCAGTTAGAGCTTTCAGTTCCTCGCGAAGCTCGTGGACTCTATCCCATGCCCCTTGGACCTCAGCCAAGTCCGTATCGCCTAAAGTAGCAACGGCCTCACTCCCACCTGCATGCTCAAGCCAACGCGCCAAACGGTCCTCAGCGAACCCGCTCAACCTCAACTGAGCACGATCAAGCTCCTCAATGTGAGCCGTCAGCTCTGACAAGTCCCATGGAGCTTGCTCAACTTCACCTTCAGACGCGGTATGCCAACTACACACGCTAGCAGCATCATCCTCTTGATCCTGACGGTCAGCTGCATCAAAAGTTTCACCACTCAGCAACCAAGCGCAAGGACCATCAACATGACTCCCAGTGCCATCCACTTGAGCAGAAGTTTGGTCACCAAGACAACTCAAGGTAGCCTCATCCATGGGGCACGACGCTTCAACCAAGTTATCATCCAAGGTCAAGCCAAGATCCACCGCACCCTTATCACGCACAGCCAAACTCATGTCCGAGACCGCCTGAACGCTATCAACCAAGCTCACGTCGACATCACAACCAAGCTTCACGCAACTCAACACAACCTCAACTTCACCTGGCACAAGCTCCACTCGTGCCTCCGCTTCCTTTTTATAGGTTATACAATTTTTATTTGGGTTTTCAAAGTCTTTTTCTACCGCGCTCTCCACAGAAGTGTTTATTTGAGTTGGAGTGGAGGGACACGGCTCATCAGCAACACTAGCTATACATGCATGCTCATGCAAGCTCGCAAAATTTCCAGGGTACCCCGTCACGGTGGCTCCCCCTTTTGTCTGCCCTTCAGGCAGACAAAACCGCAACTTACGAAGAGTCTGCTCCTGCTCATCGCTCATGTTGGACCAACAACCAACGGTATATGCAATCAACACGACACGGCGATCAGGAGGCTGCCAGGCTTCAGTGGCGTGTAAAACCCCAGGCTTAAACAGCAGAGGCGCAGACCAGGGATGCAGCTGGCCGACCACTTCACGGCCTTTATGTCGCACGACCTGAATCTCGCCCGAAACAACCTCACCAACCTCAAGTGCAGTCCACAAGCGCCCTCCGCGCTCCGGAACCTGCAAAGGCACCAAACCGGAACGCGACTCATAATCGTTCGACGTGTCCTTGTGCACCACGGCCTGAGCGTCAACTGACAAGCTCACCGTTGTGAAAGTAAGATCCGGCAGGCGTTCATGGAGTACACGACTTAGCAGCGTGGCAAAGCCTGGATGGGATTTGGTGAGACGGGTCATAGACACCACACCACCATGACGACAAGCTCCAAAGAGGTAATGAACTCCCCCCAAACAGCGAGTAGGAGCCTGGTGAGACGACCTATGTACAAACTCGGACCCCAGCACGAAATCCATAGCGGCTTGACAATCAAAAGGAACCTGTTCTGCCAACCGGGCCGCCTGAGCATCCTCATCAATCCCTGGCCCCGGTCTCTCGCGCAAAGCTCGCAAAGACCGCTTACCCCAAATCCGAAATGCAGGAGAGGGAGTTACCTTGCCACGCATGCGCCGTCTCACGGCCCCGGGCTCGGCAATCGGAGGTAAGCCCTTGCCAACGAAAAGTTGCAGATCCGATTCTTCGCCAAAGTGAAGTTTACTAACGACAGAAAGCTTGTTGCCTACTTTGACGACATAGCCTTGTCTCACATACGTGGCCGGTGCCAAAACGACAGCCGGAGTAGCACGCATATGCCATTCTCGATGCCGACGCCTGAGCCAGTGTCGAACCAAAACCTGGGTCCGGGTGCCGAACGGCACTATCGGTTTAACCGCCATACCAAACTTCCTCAAGGTATCGGCTCGCCATGTGGCGGCCGCCGCACGAAAGGCCAGGGCCCACTTAGATGTATCATTACCCACCAGCTGCAAATACACTCGTACTTGGACTTTGAGTCTTTTGACGACGTTCTCAACTCTACCGTTACTGTCATGCTCGGTGGGAGGGGCGAGTGTAAGGAGGATACCGCGAGACGCAGCATACTCCCGCAGACGCTCATCAGTAAACTCAGTACCAGCGTCAGCATGAATGCGAGCTAATGGAAAGCCAAGCTCCACAAGTTGAGCATGAATACGGCCAACCGCCAAGCACACGCTTTGCGGGGTCTTACGATCCAACAGCTCCACAAAAACAACTTCTCTCCACGCCATGCCCTCAGCCTCCTTTTCATAATCGGATTGCTGCTTAGCCCACGCATCCTCAGGACCTCCAACCTCTGGAGCGTCCAATCGTTCACCTTCCAGCGGGACCTCAGCTTCCAAGTTTTCGCCTTCCCAAAGGGCCTCAGGACCCTCATAGACTTCGGAAGCATCATCCGCAAGAGCACCGAACCACTCATCAACGTCCTTCTGAAGCTCCTCGAAGTCAGGATCAACATCCCGCACGCAAGCATCCTTATCCTCACCCGAAGCCTGCTCTTGGTCTTCACCCAAAACTGGTTTACCCTGCGCATCGACAGGGACCACGAGGACACCTACCAGTGCATACCGACGCTTATGCGAGACATCATCTGCCACACGCACAAACGGTCCCACGACATCAAGGGAGAGACAAAACGAAGCCGGAGAATGCTGACGACGGTGCGCACGCTGCTGTGCCGAGGCCATAATACAGTACTTACACCTTCTATGCGGGGGCCAGTGTCCTGACCGAATGTGCTGAGGCCAATCAACAGAGTCAACCTTACAAGCCGACGCGCGAGAACGACTCAACAGCACCGAGGAAAGCCTGTCCCTAGCTGGCTCCCCCCAACTTGCATGCTCACACAACAACTCACCGAAGTAACTCAAGTTCTGCACGCCCGAACCGGGAACAGGACTAAGAGCATGGTCCCCTGTGCCAACAACCAACACAGACGGCTTATCCTTTCCAAGTGTTTCACACGCAACACAACTCACCTTTGCTAACAAGCCAAGGAAGATGGACTCATCCTGATCCAAGCCGCGCCTGTTATCAACCAGAATCACAGCAATCTTTCCATCAACCGCCAGCTCAAGCAACAGTCTCTGAGTGGAAGGGCTCATGAGGTGATCCTTAACTGGCAGAAGCAACGGCTCACAGCCCGACTGATGTGCCATCTTGCGGCACTCACTCCACCAAGGATCTCCTTTATAACTTATCACTACCCTATCACTCTTATTACATGCCCGGCGCTGCCGACGATTCCAACACGCGAGCGCTCCACTCCGAGGAGCCCAAGTGAACGGACAACCAACAGCCAAGTCAAACTGCCCTGACCATAACCGCCGGACTACTGCCTCCAGACTCGCAGCAACATCTTGATCCATCCGAATGGCCTCAACCAAAAACTTCACAAGGTGACGTTCTTCAGTACTCGAATACTCATGCGCAATCTGGATCGCTCTTACCGAGGTGGCTAATGCTTCGTGATATCCACTCTCAATGTCTCGAAGAAGCTCCAATGCTAGGTCTTCACTCATGCGCGGACAACCACTCGAATCGTCCATCGTGAGAACGCCCCTTACCGGATGAATCAATTCACACCTCCCTTCAGACCAAAACCAATGACACCCGAGCTTAATCAAAGGTCTCAATGCCACAATACACTCAATGTCTTGAGTGGAAACCAACGTGCCATACTCATTCATGTACAACACAGCGTTTCCCTCGGCCAAGTCTACCAGCCGACGCGTCATCCCCTCCGTAGTCTCCCCGGGCTTTAGTCCCCGAAGACACGTGGAGGCTCCAGAATCCAACAACCCCGTACGAACACCACGAGCCTCAAGCCTGTTCAATGTTGGCTTCATTCGCAATGCTTTAGCTTGCATGGTCTTTATCAAGTTCTGGGTTTCTTTCAACAACTCAAGCTGGGCTTTAGAGGCTTGGGAACTCTCGGACGGCCTCTCTTCCTCCACTCCTTTCAAGAGGGGCTTGTTAGGATCAGGCTTATCAGCACCCTTTCCACCCGAGCCCTTGGGTTTACCACCCTTTTGACCCTTGCTTGTGTCCCCAGCATCCGTGGGACACTGATATGCCATATGACCCAACCCGCTACACACAAAACACCTGCTTCTAGCATCTGGGGCCTTCTGGAGGTCTTCATGGCTATGGGCAAAGTTGCATCGCGCTCCCCTCGAGCACCCTTTCGAGGTAAGCCAGTGATAACAAGCGTTACCCGAAGCTGACTCACTCGCCTTCCCTGAACCTTTGTTCCCTTTAGAACCCTTTTTACCACCATCCTTCCCACCATGAGGCGGATCGGCACCGTCCAATCGGGTATCAACCCGAGCAAGCTTTGGCTTTTTAGCCCCAGAAGATTCCAGAGTCTGAAGCTCTGCTTGCATCATCTCCCCTAAAGAAACCGCCTTATCTAAGGTGGGGACCAAGTCAACCGAATGTTGATGACGAAACGTTTGAAGTCTAAACTGCACGTCCGGAAACTGGGCTACAACTGACGACGTCAAGCAGTCCAGGCCGGATATTAGCAGCGTGGCATCCGGTAATGTCACTCCCAATTCAACAGCCCTCCTACGCCAACGAGCCCAACGCTTGACACCTCTCAAAGCATCCGAAACCGTTTTGGCCCCTTCTGGTGTAGCAAGATACCTCAGCAGCGCCGTACGCTCTCTGAGGCCACCAGGCTGAAATGTTGTAAGGATGATGCCCATTATCTCGATGGATGTCATGCGCCTCATTGACACTACTTCGTCCTTGATGGTAGGGGGAACTGCTTTCAACAGAAGTGCCACTGCACGCTGCTCCACTCTAGCGTACTTGCCTCTCTCGAACCTATCGGGCCTTTCAGGTTTTAGAGTGAGACGCTCAATCGGTCCACTATCCAACCACCTCGCATAATAGTCCTGGGCCGCAGATAGAGACTCGGCCCACCAATCAGAGGCATGCGCGGACAAATCCCGCAAGGAAGGGCCTATCAAAGCAACCCAATCCCCAGCAATCAAAGGAGTCAACTCCCGCTCAGTTTCCTTAACCTCAAGCTTGGGCAATTCCCCTACATTTTTCACATCCTCAACCCGATCTCGATCCACCGACCCTGTTCCTCGGATCGCCCCTTCGAGGGCGGCTGTTAACTTTTGAATGTCATTCTCCGGAGCAGGAGGTGGGGGCAAAGGACGGTAATCGTCGTGTTGAAGTTGTTCACTCCTACTGGGGGACCTACGAGGAGGAGGAGGTTTGATTTCTGTTCCACCGGGTGAAATCGGATAAACAATTCTGGGTCGTCGAGTTGGAGACTGTTCAGATACACCCGGTGCGGAAGTAGCAGTCACGTTAGCACCTTCTGCAGGAGTTCGATTTCTTTCAGGAGAGCGACTGTAACTCCTAGCATCCAAACCTCGCGACCGAGACAAACCCTCACCATGCACAAAATCATGTGGCTCTTCCCTCGTCCGTGCCGCAGCACCTGATTGATATGGACTGAAGGGAGTCCTGGCCTTCGGGTCGAAAGGAGATGCACAACGAGTTTCAGTAGTACGATTCTTACTTCCAGCAAGATGAAGTTCCACCGAATCGCAAATCGCCCCCGGTCTATCCACTCTCCCTCTTTCTCTCGACTCTCGGAGCATCTCATTTCTATCACTCAACTCCCGTTCTCTCACCCGTCTCTCACTAAACTCTCGCTCACGCTCACCTCTCTCAACACATGGTTCGAGAACCAACTCTCCTTCAGGAGAAAAGCGCCAAGAATGTCGAGTACCATCCACCACCACTGTCCCAGAACCCTTGGGGCCTCTAGCCGAGCCATGATCTAATGGAACCCCCGCAACCTGGGTTGAATTGGCATCGTCCACCCCGACATTCCCTAACGGAACAACAGCAGCAGGTCTTGGATCTGCAATGGCAAGGCTTCTCATAGCAGCTGTGACGTTGGATCCACCGGTTGTTTGATCCCCAGGTCTACGCCTAGGTCCAACATCCACTCCTCTCTCCATCCGTCTATGGCTACCAACACTTCGCTCAGATGCTGAGTTCTCGCTCGAGTGCTCCACCTCCAGCCTTTCCAAGCGTGAAAGCATGGTCGCTTGCGCCATCCTAACTTGATCAAGTGCCGGTGCCAGACTAGCCTGAATAACCGATTGTAGCATCACGCTCATTTCACCCAATACCTCATGCCGCACTCTCGCCAAACCTTCCTCAAGTTGCGTCTGCCCTGTATTCCAACTGCTCGGCGAACCCGAGGCTGCACCCGGTGATAAACCAACCGCTGCTAGTGCACGGTTCGGATCATGGTCTACACTACCTGCTCCAGGTCGTAACACTGGTCGTGATGATGTCTGCGGCTTCTCAGGGCTGGCAACTTCCGATTTGGAGCTTTCTTCAGCCGGTAAGGCCGAATAATCTGGGACCAGTTCTGGCTCATCGATGTCCATAACCGGTAGTCTTGACCCCTGGGAAGCTGGAGAAGGACCAGTTGCTTCTACACGATAAACTCCCAACCTCGGTGACTCTTGATGTTCGCGGTCCATAGCCTCTCTCTCATATGGCGGATGAAGGTCCTGCTCTGATACACAGCTCATGTGTGATCTTTCTGAAATACCACCGTGGTCATCACCACCATACATAGCCGCCTGCACTGAATAACCCCAATTCGTTGGGGAGCTGTCTCTTGCAGATTCGGGCGGAGCTGAACTATCCATGGCACGAACGACTTGGGCTCATAACCCCCGGAAGGGGGATGGCCACAGCAGTACTGTTTCCACGAGCGAACGACCGACAGAAAAGCATCTTAACAGCTTGCTGTACAAGTTCCTATACACTTCTGTCTTTTGTCGAGAAGGTGCTTTACCCCCCAATAAGCAGAGCAACATGTTTCTTCTTCTATACAACTACTTTCTACTCTATCTTCTTCTTCTTGCATCCAGAGCCTGAGCATCGGCTTACCTGATCTCCGAGCCTAAACCCTGACTATCCTGAGAACAACCCCCAAAGCCTCAAAGCTCCAAGCCTAGCCCCCAGGGTTGACAGGGCTCTAGAAGCCCCAAACCCTAAACCGCACCCTGCAAGCTCTAATTATGCAGGCAACCCTTACTGCCAAGCCACCACCGTTCCGCGCAGACAGGCCCTAGCAGCGAAAGTGAAGGAGCTGACCGGAGGCTGTTTGGCGGGGCTTCGGGTTTAGGGCCGTTTAGGGGGTTTCGGGGTTTCCATTGACGCGTCGGGACTTTTGGACCTGCCGGTCAAGGATGTGAGGCTTTACTTCCAGGGAGTTCCGGTTGCATGCATCGGGTTCTGATCTCGATGTTTGTTAAGACTTTGACAGAAGCTGGAGCTGGACAACGGCCTCTTCGAGGGTCCAAGAAGCCCTTACTGCAGCCTCGACCCGCGAGCTTGAACCCTGAGCCCTCTGGGCGGGTGGCAAAAAAAAGATAAATGCCTATGTTCAAAACTGAAATACTATAGCGACCGTAGGCCCTTGGCGTCTATGGCACTGGATTGGGATGAGAAATGCATTTCTCTCTCTCTCTCTCTCTCTCTCTCTTCGAATTGTCTCTCACTTCACTCGCTCACTCACTCCCTCACTCACCTGCTCACTCGCATCTCGCAAGGTGGCAATGTGGGGCCTCATACAGAGATCTTGTGAACTTACGAGCTTTGGCGACGGGGGATGTCCATGTTCAACGTTTCCGGCTCTTCCTCAACCACGAAGAATTCCACCACATCCTCCACTGTAGTAGCCTCGCTTACGGGCAGGAAAGTTACATGCGCTGGTCAACAACAGTGGCAAGGCCTGGCTGAACTCTTTGCTGGCTCTTCGATGCGGATTTCGGACCTCGGGCTCAGGGAACCGTCAACTTCAGTAGGTTCAAAGCCTTGGACTGACTGGCAAAAACTCCGGAGGTCACAAGGCAAAGCCAGCGATCTACATCCTAGACTTGCAACCCTCCCTCTGTCACCTTTCGGCTTTGCAAGCCTCCACCCTGAATGCCCCAAGGCCCCAAAAAACCCTAACCAATCAAGCCAGTTGGACCCTAAAAACCTCCCCTTAACCCTCCAACCTATGCCTCGTTTGGGCCTATATTTCCTGAGCTCGATCCTCCTTGAACCCTAAGCCCTGGAGTTCTTAATACATAACTCTACTACCCAAGCCTTAAGCCTACACAAATCCATCCCAAACCCTTCTGGCCCAAAAGCCCGGTGAGGCCTGGGGCGAGCCTTTTGAAAACTTCGATGTGCAGCGTCTCGGCCTTTGAGAGAGCCTCGGGTTTGCCTTGGGGGCCACGGCCACGGCTCTGAGAATGTCAAGTTAGGGCTTCGATGTCAGGAGGGTGCAAGGTCTTCAATTCTTAGTTTAGTGTTGCTGCTGCTTGCACACATGCTGCTGCAGCTACCTGCTACCATGCATTGTTAATCATCAGTACTACTACTACTACTACTACTACTACTACTACTACTACTACTACTACTACTACTACTACTACTACTACTGCTTCTACTACTACTACTACTACTACTACTACTACTACTACTACTACTACTACTACTACTACTCCTACTCCTACTCCTACTCCTACCCCTACTCCTATTCCTACTCCTACTCCTACTCCTACCCCTACTCCCACTCCCACTCCCACTCCCACTCCTACTCCTACTCCTACTCCTCCTGCTGCTGCTGCCACGTCTTTAAACCACGACAGATTGTCGTGGTCGTGGCCGCCGACATGCTAGCTGAGGAAGGGCTTTGAAGACATCCTTCGCATCAATGTCACCTCGCCATTCCACCTGACGAAGCTCTGCCTGCCGATGCTGGAGGCCAAGAGTGCGCGGGTAAGGTTTTAGAGAGTTTCGGCTTTAAAAACCCTGAGCCCATTGTGCTTCCAAAAACCTCCCGTCCCTAAACCCTAAACCCTAAACCCTAAACCCTAAACCCTAAACCGTGGGCCCCAAATCGAGAAGTGTACCAAGTAAACCGCCGCCCCACTTTCAACGTCCGACAGGTTCCTGGCCATGCCGCGCCATGAAGCAAACATCCCTAAAACCCCATAAACCCTAAAACTCTAAAACCCGAAACCCTAAAACCCTAAACCTTATCCCCTAAACCCCTGAAACTTCGTCTGACTTGTCGAGCACGAGTGACAGAAAAGTCCTAAACGTCTAAACCCTAACCCCGGCCTGTTCCAATGCGAGAGGGGTAAAAACCCCTGGCAGGCTGCCCAGAGCCCCGGGCATCCAGCCAGTGTCATCAACATCAGCCGCCGGCTTACTTGAGGGGCCGGAAGAGCTTGAGATGGGAGTTTCCGAAAATCAGGGGTACCTTATTTTGGGGTCCTGATAATGAGGATCCTATTATTTAGGGTACTATATTAGGGTCCCCTATTTTCGGAAACCCCGAAATCTCGTGGGTGCTGGCCGGCACCTCAGTCCGTGCTGAAAGGGTTTGGCGTGTAGGGTTTAGCTTTGAACAGGTTGTGGGGTATATGAGACTCTGAGAGTGCAACTATATCAGGGACGATGAGGGATACTGGTACTAATCATTCTGGTCCCTATACCATTTCGAGCATGCAAGGGTCAGACAGTTTCCTAGCGAGAGAAATCTGGCGTTTCGTGCTTGTTTTCGAGTCTTCGTGTTAAAGCACCAGGCTTTGAGTGATGTTTCGTTGCATTCTATTGAAGCTTGTTGTTGCAGCTTTGGCTTCAAGGCCCCTGCAGGGCCCGGCTGCAGAGCTGCCTTGTCCGGCTAAGTCAGAATGCTGAAAGCGAATTCATGCATGGCTGGTTGTCACTGTTACGTGCCCGGATGGGAAACTACAGTTGTTCCTGGTGTATTTACTATAATGCTAACCTTGTAGTGACCCTTACACCAACCTGTCTTTCCGGACGACCTGCAGCAGCAACTGCAGCGCTTTGCTGCCCTCATGGCCCTAATCTGCAATTGCGCAGGGCCCAACCACTACCTGAACCCCAAGAGCATGTAGAATAATAACCGTTTATAGGTTTGGGGCCATTGTTTTACCTACTTTGGGGGATCTAGGTAGACTTGTAAACTTTCCCGGCGGCGGCTCGTGAGCGATGGTGGAGGCCGGTCAGCTACACTTTTGCCGGGCTGTGCCCGTAGTAGTAGTAGTAGTAGTAGTAGTAGTAGTAGTAGTGGTGGTGGTGGTGGTGCTGGGGGTGGTGGTGGTGGTGGTAGTAGTAGCAGGAGAAGTAGTAGTAGTAGTAGTAGTAGTAGTAGTAGTAGTAGTAGTAGTAGTAGTAGTAGTAGTAGTAGTAGTAGTAGTAGTAGTCGTAGTAGTAGTAGTAGTAGTAGTAGTAGTAGTAGTAGTAGTAGTAGTAGTAGTAGTAGTAGTAGTAGTAGTAGTAGTAGTAGTAGTAGTACGTAGTAGTAGTAGTAGTAGTAGTAGTAGTAGTAGTAGTAGTAGTAGTAGTAGTAGTAGTAGTAGTAGTAGTAGTAGTAGTAGTAGTAGTAGTAGTAGTAGTAGTAGTAGTAGTAGTAGTAGTAGTAGTAGTAGTAGTACTAGTAGTAGTACTAGTAGTAGTAGTACTAGTAGTAGTACTAGTAGTAGTAAATGGTAGTATGTGAGTCGCAACCCTCAACCGACAGCAAAGTAAACATCGGTTCTTGTGCGTTGCGCGTGTTGTTTTCGCAAGGGTTCTGAGTCTACTACCCTAAACCGTAACCGTCAAAGCCTTACATTGACCGAGGTGGCTCTGTTTTGCTTAAGCTCTACAGTGTTAGACAGGCAGAAGTTGAAAGAGCTGCAATGTTTCCTTCGAAATGTCGGCGGCCAGCAAAGAACGAGCTTACTCTAATGCGGGATCCACAATCGAAAGCTACTGTGCTGGCCAACGCTTGTATCATGAATGCAGCATGTTTTGGTGTGCTAAGGGCCCGAAACCGAAACCATAAACCGTGAACTCCAGACAGGAAGCCTCAAGTGGAAGAAAGCCCGACTCAACCCTGAACAGCCGAAGCCGAAGCACGCGAAAACGCTAAGCGGCAGATTCACATCCCGAAGCGTGGCATCCATGCCCGGCTGGAGCCGCGACGGACAGACGATGACGGTCTGCCGGACAACTTGCACGAGCTTCGGGCTCTTGAGGCTGGGGTAGTAGGGTCGGGGTCACGGTTTCGTGTCGAAACTGCCCGGTTTGGACTGTGGGCTTTGGGGCAAGTTTGGGTTCAGGCAAGGTTTTCGGGCTTTTCACTTCTGGGGACCTGGGGGCAGTGCATGCAGGGGGCCTGTTCGGAGGACGCAAAGACATGGATGGTCTTGTGGATGATGATGGCGATGGCTGACTTTAGTTAAAGCCTTGAATCGCTCATGTGTCAAAGCACAGGCCTGAAACCAAGAAACCTGAGACACCCCAGCTTAATCTCTCCCTGAAGTCCTCAACCTCCGGCAGGCATATGAGAAGCAGACCATGCAGCACCTAGAACGGTCGAACCGGGAGTTGAAAGAGGACGCCCGTAAGTAGAAAGCAAGACTACAGCTACGGTTACTCTTCCTACTACTGCGACTGCTTGGTACTGCGAAGACTCCAAGTCGTCTTCCTCATCCTCCTCCTCCTACTATTCCTCCTGTTGCTGCTACTACTGCTCCTCCTCCAAACCACTCCTACTCTTACTCCGACTACGACCTCTACTGCTGCTACTGGCACGGCTACAGCAACAGCAACTGCAGCAACAACAGCATCATGAAAGAGCAAATCAGCATAGCTGTAGAGAGGCTTCCGTTCCTTAGGTTGTTGGGCGTAGGGCTTTGGAGATGGGATGTAGGAGGCAGGTTGTAGGGTTTGGGAGTCGTCGGCTCTGGTGTAAGATTCAGAGTGTTTTGGCCAGTGGCTGAGGAGGTTTGTTTACCATGTTTTAGGGCGTCCGCCTTCAAACTGTAGGTAGGCGGGCATGGACAGAGCACAACGTGGGGCCATGATTCAGAGTACAGGGGGCCATGTTGTGAATCACCTTACGTGGTGGCAGCGGGGCTTTCGGGAGCCGGGTGGGCCACCCAGGAGCTGGAGAAGGAAGATGATGCGGACTTCAGAGAAGCAATCGAGGAGCAATGGTTTGGGGTTGAGAGGTTTGTTTCCAAGGGCAAAAGGAGGGACCCTTAATAAGGACCCCTAGGAATATACCCTTAATATAGCTAGTATATACCCATTATATAGGGGTCCCCATTAAGGGTCCCTCCTTGTCCCCCTTGATTGTGGGCAGCCATCGGAGAATCCTTGTGATGCAGAAACACTCAGAGTTTCGTCGTGGCTTTCAGGCAAAACAGCTAAACAACCTTAAGCCCAAGACACACCCTTCCTAGCCTTGGGAGTTAGGGGAGGTTTTGTCAAAGCAGAGCATTAATGCAGAGCCCATGTATACTGGGTAAGTATCTCCCTTCTGGTTCATGAAGATTTGTATACTATACCTGGACCCTAAGGAACCTACCGTTTTTAGGACTTATATAAAGAAATCATATTATATTAGGGAACCCTAAAAAGGTAGGTTCCTTAGGGTCAAGGTAATATTTACGTAAGCCCAGTTGTAAGTATGGAGGCCTGCAGGTCTGAAGCCCATGCCGATCTGAATCGAACCCAGGACAACATAAAAGTGCTGAAGACAAAGGGGGACCGTCTCCTGAAGATCGAGGCTGCTGGAGATTCACCTGGGCTTTAAGATCTAAAATATGAGGGATTTAGTTGTCTCTAAACCTGGGAACAAGGGCACTCTGGGACGTTTCAGGTTTGACTTGCAGTGGTTCGGCTCACACACCGACGTAAGACGGGTTTATGAACTGCGTGTTCCTGCAATTGCGGGCCTTTGGAAATGAATCAGGCTTCAGTGTCACGGATGAGGGTTCCAAATTAGTTTCGATGTCCCGGGGTCTTAGATCCTTGGCCGTCGATCCTGAATGAGTCGATCTTGCACGTAGAGTTTAGGGTTTACATGTGCAGCCAGATTCAAAACACCACCATGATGTAAGATGATGTAAGGACCTCGATACTGCCATACAATTATTGGCAGTATCCTCAGGAGTACTTAGAAATACTTCATAATTTTTGGTTATTAAAATTTCTAAGAAACAGCTAAAATTACATTTCTTGCTAGGGTTGTATTTTCAGTATAGTATCGAGGTCCTTACAACGTCTTACATCATGGTGGGAAGTCCCACGGAAAGGCCAGGCACCAAAGCCAAGGTCCGGTCAAGTCCACAACCAAAAGCCCCCACAACTCAGACCCTACCTAGAGCTTTTGACAATGCTGCGCGCTGTTTTTTTCAACGCATAAACCCGCTGTGCTTGACTGAGTTTGCGACCTTGAGCCAAAACACTCTTGAAACGCTCGAAATCCCTTGTGAAAACCTGTGGAATGCGGTGTAAGAATCTCAGGGAACCCTATCTCTACCTGGACCCCAAAAGTATGTAGAATAATAGCCTTTTATAGGTTTTGGGCCATTACTTTACCTACTTTGGGGGGTCTAGGTATCTATAAAGCCCTCTAAACGCTGTCAAGAGCCGTTTTGAAAGAGTGGAAGGAAAAGATTCGAGAGCTGTCGCCGCCCTTGGAGATCCCTCCTGGGCAGGTCCCACTTGCTCAGGACTGCTGCTCTATTCATATACGGCAAGGTTTAAAGGGATTTTTGGGGCCCTAGAAGGGCTTGATAAGATTTTAGTGGTCTGAATAATGAGTAACAAGCCATAGTGCCATAGAGCTATAAGTTTTGGAGTTTCAGAGGCGATGCAGGCTGGAAGCAAAAATGTTGTTAAGATATGGTTTCATGATTTGTAGTTTAGGACTTTGGAGCATGGGGTACTTAGGATTGACATATGTGGGTCTGTGCATATGTCCGCCTGCTTGCCTGTCTGCCGGTTTGCCCGTCCTTTTGCAGCTACTTCTTGTCTGTATCTGTGTTTGTATGTGTGTACATATGTGTTCATGTACGTGTGTATGCATATGCATATGCATATGCATGCAGGTTATGTGCGTAACTAGTGTGATGCTGAATTCCAAGTACCTGGTCTTCTGCTGGTGCATGTCCTCCGTTTTGTTTCAGGAACGTGGGTCCTTAGTTTGCCTTGGGTCTATGTAACTGCGGACTCGCTACATATTAAAGCCCCTGTGTGTGCCGCTGGTGTGTGCACATGCACCTCTGAATGTAAGTGAAGCCTTCTAAACTTGAGAGATGCCGGTTGATGACGACCGCTGACAAGACTTCTGTCTGCTGCAGACATCGCAGCGACGGAGACCCCTCCCTCCCGATGCCCTCGGAACATGCGAAATGCTGAAGTTCAGGAAGGCGGCTATGCGATTCCTGCAGGGCAGTTGCCGGCACAGGGGCAGGATAACGGAGCCCCTCGTTCAGCATTGAGCTCTCCTGGATCCAAACCGTATTGCAATACTACAATATACCATTCTAATTGTTAAGACCCCTATGCAGGTTTTTTAGGTCAGTTTAATTCTCTTCCGAGCCATGCGGCTTTTGGCTTCGCTGCCTCACGCGTCAACCGAGGCTATTCCTGCCGGCTTGGACTTGTGAAGGGCATGCTCCCGTGGGAGTCGGTGGTTGATACACGCTGAGATAAATAAACGACACCGGTTTACCCTAGGGATCTAAAGACTCGTATATTAAGGCTTTTGGGCCCAAAGACCATACTATATAAGGCTTTTGGGCTATTTTGATCCCTACATTTAGGGGCGATAAGCAGACCTCCTGACGTCCAGGGATTTAGTTTAAGATCAGTGGAATCACCGCAGAGTCGCCTTCGACGCTCTCGCACTCGAAAGCCAAAGCCGTCTGTAACATTCTACAGTAGAAGCCAGAAAGTTGGAATATGATTATCCTAAACCCTTTATGGTAAATTATAGGGTATCCTACCCTGAAACCATATTCCAACTTTCTGGAGTTCCCTTTATGGTAAGGTGCACCATGCGGCAAGTGTCTTTCAACGACCGATTGTAGTCCTGATAGTCTCTTATAGTAACACGAGATGGGCCCACGGAGCACGTGGCTAGAAACAGTGCTGCATCGCTGTACAGGAAAGCGAGCTTTGAAAAGACCGCACCTGCTCACATCTGGATGCGTGCTAGGCTTTTGTGCGCCTGCCAGAAACGATGCCCAGACCCCAAACCCTGTAAATGCGCGCCTCCGTAAGCCCGCAACCCCATAAATCCTGATCAGACTCTCGAAGGTTATTTTAAGCGAGGGGCTCCTTCCGCGCTCGGCCGAGGCAGCATCGACGGTATGCGAACGCCTCCGGCAGAGACCTACTCTTATTCCACTAGCAAGACCGGTCTCATCGCACTCACCAGGCGCACGTTTCTGCCGAGATCATTCATATAGGTACCTGAACCCCAAGAGTATGTAGAATAATTGCCTTTTATAGGTCTTGGGCCATTATTTTACCTACTGGTCTAGGTACTGAGACTCTGTCAAACCTGGTATTGCCGTTAGCATCCGTTAGCGTTATGTATATTTACGTATCTCTCTGGTACGTGTGGTAGGATACAGGCTCCTCTGTGCTTCAAACCGCCTCGTCCGGCGGATGTTCTTGCAAGACTGATTCTGAGTTCCCGTGCTTTGCGACAGAGTAATATAGGGGCCTTAGTAATTAGAACAGGGTTTGGGGCCCATTGTACTATACTTTGAATAAAGAACCACCAAAATTGTATAGGTAGTTATAAAGGCCCCAATAAAGAACCACCAAAATTGTAAAGGTAGTTACAAAGGCCCCAATACAGAACCACCAAAATTGGACCAAAATTGTATAGGTAGTTATAAAGGCCCAACCCCAAAGAACCAACAAAATTGTATAGGTAGTCATAAAGGCCCCCCCCCCCCATATTAGATCAGAGGATCCAACCCCCGAGGCGCCGTATGCCCGTAAAGTGGATTGTTGCTGATGCGCACGCCCATGACCGCCAATGAGGTTGGCTCAAGGAGCACGTTATACCCAAGACAGAGTCACACACCAGCGGTTGGAGATTTTCGCACGGTGCCGATTCCAAGTTTTGACATTTCTCATTTCGGCGACGCTGCAAGATAGGTTTTGGGCCTGAGGGTTCGTCCGCTGCCACGAAGCTGCAGCGGCCATGGCAGCAAGAGGTCCTCCAGCTCCGGGGATGCGCATCTTGGCCCTCTGAAGTGATGTCATCCGGAGGACTTCCTGCTCTTTCGGAGTCTTCCTGTACCCCAATGTACGCTATGTACCTTGTTGTATGGATCACCCAGAATAATTCGGAAGGGATCTCAGGTGCTGAAGTAGTTCGGGGTTCTGTGGCAGATTGGCTCTGTGCTCCGTCCGGCTCTCTTCCGTTGGTCACGTCCAGTTAAACGGTAGAAACGGTTTAGTGCTAGTTAGTCTGTAAACAAGACCCCACCACGATTCAAGTCTGGCATCTTCCCTTTCTAATGTTCAGCAAGCACGGTTGCCCTGGACGAAGGCTTCGGCCAGATCGTCTCGACTCTAGGATATCCTCCATCTCAACAGAATCCCCAATCCTAGATCCGTTTCGAAAGCTAGACTTCAACTTTACCACTTTCTCATTTCTGTCGCCTGGCTCTCGCATGCCGTTAACGAGGGCAGGGGCTCGAATCTTTTCTTCCTTGGGCTCGCGAAAATGCAGCGGCCCGCACATGTCGTATTTAGTTAAGCTTGTGGGCGGGGGTGCGGTGACAGGGATAGGGATAGGGATAGAGAGAGATACGGGGATGAGTTGGGAACTTGATGCAGGGTATATTCTCGTTTAGGGAAGACAAAGGTGTTTGGCTAAGTGTTGTTTGGTGTTTTTGGTATATGGGAGTTTCCGAAATAGGGGGGGACCCTAATACATACCCTAAATAGGAGGATCCTTTCCCAAACTAAGGTACCCTTTCTTTTCGGAAACTCCCATATAAACGGTTATGGATTAGAAAGGGCCCCCACCCTGTAATAGTGGTATAACCGGAATAGAATAGGGCCCTAATAGAATCCTTATAGTCACTAACAGGGTGGGGGCCCCTTCTAAGTTATGCAGATCTTGGCTGATCAGTGATCCCTCCAGCCGGGCCATGGGGAGAGTTAGGGGAACCTTATTCTGGGATCCATATAATCAGGATCCTGCTATTTAGGGTACTACATTAGGGTCCCCTATTTCCGGAAACTCCCAGTTCAGGCTTAGTTTCAGGATGCTGTTTCGGTCTTAGTAGCTAATATTACCCACTAGAAAACTGAAAGTGTAGACTTTTTGGGGCTTAGGAACTCAGCAACTATAAGCGGTGAGCTGGAGCTTTGAAAGCAGCTGCCGAGGGCGAGAAGTACCCAGACAAAGAGAAGTCGGTTCAATGCTGAGGTTCCAGGCAGAGCAGACAGCAGACAGCCAGAGTTTCAGGAGGGGCTGGCATTGCAGCGATGTCGTAGTAGGGGTTTAGTTTAGGGTTTACGGTTCAGGGTCCGTTTCGGGTTCAGCGTGGCATCTGGTTGGACGGCACTAATCAACCCTGTGTAACAACGAGCGTAGTTTTCCTGGTGCTAAACCTCCCAAGCAACGGACCTTGCGCAAAGGTGCATGTTGGTCGGGAGTTCTCTGCCCCCGCCGCCTTTTCCGGCTGTTTTTCCGGGCGCCCCAAGGCCGTGACCGGTATCATTCCAGTTATAGTAGTTATCAGATACCCCGAAGCACCGCGTCGATTCTCAATCCCTTTATATCGAGCGGTCAGGTTCAGCTTTGTCAGGTTTCACTCGTTTCGAGGAGTTCAGGCTTTCTAGGTTCGGGATTCGGGTTTGCGGGTTTTTGCCTTTAGGGCTTTGGGTTTGCGGTTTAGGATCGGTCTTGTGGATGACCAGTTGATCAGTTTTTGCAATCTGGGGTGGCCGCGTGGCACGAGTCCACGGCACAGTCGGCGCCTCGGTTCTTAGGGTTTACCTATAGTCTCCATTCTAGTTCCTTTTTGGGCTTACCTTGTTAGGATCCTTCATCTATAATTGGCTACAAATCCCAAAAAAGGAGCTACAAAGGAGACTATAGGTAGGGTTTAGTGTAAAGGGAACTCCAGAAACTTGGAACATGGTTTCAGGGTAGGATCCCCTATAACTTACCTTAAAGGGGTTACGATAATAATATTCCAACTTTCTGGCTTTTACCTTAAAAGTATCGGTCTTGTCCGTACGGCGCAGGCTCCAGTTAAGGGCTTCTCGGCTCCAAGCAGCGGAACCTAAGCTGCCTACTTGGAGGATCATGGGACTTAGTAAGTAAGGTTATAAGTACCTTAATTGGGGTTATAGTATAGTTACCCTAAGTATAGTTACTAAGTCCCATGATCGTTTAAGTAGGCTTTGATTGTAGTCTTTGTTTTTGCCGGCTTGGGCTCGTTTTGTGGGGCTTTGTGATTTTGAGTTCTCTGGGGTCACAGGAGTGGTATAGGTAGTCGACGGAGTTGCCGCAGAGCCAGTGGCCGGTGACTCCAGAATCCTTGTTGAAGGAAGCTTATCTTCGGCCTATATATTAGAAGCTGCCCCCACCCTGTAATAGTGGTATAATAGGAATATAATAGCGCCCTAATATAATCCTTGTAGTCACTGTTACAGGGTGGGGGCAGCTTCGAAACTATATAATATACACATTGACACATGTTTTAAAACGCAGTAAAGAACCCTGAGCCCCGAAGCCTCTAAACCTTGGTTCAGCTAGCCAATCCCTGCGTGAAAAGAAGCAGTTGCGCGCACGACGAAGTCGCCCTAACAAAGATCTGGCTCAAGCCATTCAAAGCTTTTTAAAACTTTTACAACCCTAAACCCGAAACCCTAACCCCTAAACCCTAAACCCTGAAAAAACTCTAGACGCCCCGGGAAGGTGAGGTGCTCAAGGTCGAGGAGCCGCTAGCACCGCAGACGACCCATCGGCAGGGTGCTCAGACAGCTGTGTCGGGTGGGATCTATAAGGGTACGATTATATGGTTAAGGGGTTTAGGGTTTAGGGATGGTTTTGGGGTTTTTGGTTTACAGGTTGAGGATGAAGGGGGCGTTGGGTTTTAGAGGATCTTGCTCTTCGTGGTTGACGGCGGCGAGGGTGGCGATTCAGTGCAAGACTGCGGGCTTGCTCGGTGGCAGAGGCAAGTATAAGTAAATGAACGGTATTGAATGGTCATCTGATGAAACATGGCAGGCCCTGAGGCAACTATAAGTACATGAACGGTATTGAATGGTCATTTGATTGGAACATGGCAGGCCCTGCGTGTGGGGCGACGGCAGCCAACGCCAGCTTGACTACAGCCGTTCCTCCGGCTGCACTTGCCGTTGTCCACCACCGTCTGCCTAAAGTGTCAGGACGTCAGGAACACAAAACTCCAATATTTCAGGGGCAAAGCCCGCAACCCTCAGCCCGAAACGAGTGCCTGGTCGCCTCTATTTCTGGTCAGGTTTCGCTGCTGCGGTGGCGGATGAGAGCGACGACGACACGAATGCAAAGTACCCAGATTTGACTGAAAAAGACATCGAGGCACGCTTTGGACGCTGATCAAGCAGACGAGAGACGAACAGCAGCTGCCACACGATTCATGCGTATTACGCGGTGTCCATGCCCCATAGCAGAACCCTACAGATCTGTAAGTCCGCAACATACTTGCAGCATCCTGCAGTATAAGTTACTACCGAAAGCCTGTTTTGATTGTTGAGGTCCCCGATTTCGTATCCTCTCATGATGAAGCCGCTGAAGAAGCATCCTACGTACATGCAACGTCCTGGGTTGGGGGGCCTTTTACTTTCTGAAATATTATCATAGTCAAGGGGAGAGGTTTGGGGCCGGCAGTCCCACCTCAGAATGCTTGAGTCCATGGATGTATTTTCTTCCCCAGGCGCTTCTGCGATATGGTGTCAGGTTGCTTTAAACTTTCTCGCCATGTGTTGCTCAGGACTGTTGGGTGCTAGAAACCGTGGGCGAATTTTTCGCTAAATCTGAAAACCACGTGCCGCTGTACAGGTTCCGCAGAGGCCTAGATGTGTCGTGGAGCCACTCGACTGATCTGGCATGTGGTTCGCTTTGTCTGCATGACAGCTGTTCGCTCCACGTGAATAGGGAAGAATTGTAAGGCATTGCTATAGTAGGAAGTGTGCACAGACTTGATTGAAATGGAAAGCCCCACTTCCAAATTCATACGAGCTCCATGTCGTCATTTCATTGGTTCTGTGAGGTGCCGGAACTGTTCGCACAGCATCACGCAACAGTCCTCCCAGCTGCGCTGTGGGCGCTGTGCGAAGGCGATCTACTGCTCTGGACTCGGTCTCCGCTCAGGTGTGCAGAGTACCCTAACCTACCAAACAACCTCGCCTCTGGACATAGATGCCAGCCATGCGAGAGGGAAAAAAACACTACTTTTTTGTAGGGGTCCCTATAAACTCCATATTAGGGTTCATAATAAGAACCTACAAACGTAGGGTTTGGTAGGCTAAGGCTAAGGTAGAGTTGTGCCTTCAGACGGTACTCTACTATACAAGATTGTACTATATTAGACTAGAGTGGACTAGACTAATTATTAAGTTAGAATGCATTATATGCATCATATTATGTTATGTTCTTTTTATATTACACCATATGATATTACATTATGTCGGACCATATGGCATTATGTTTCCTGAGAATATATATATATATATATATATATATGTATATATACATATGTATATATACATATGTATATATATATATATATATGCTCACCCCCCCCCCCCCGGTGACAGACCACGGGTCTAAAAAACACCGTGCACAACGATATTCTGTGAAGCAAAACCGTTACATGAGGTATATAGTATAGCACCAGACGTGCGGCACATGAGTTACGTAATAGTCTTGTGGTAGTATCGGTATTAGGGTGAGTATTGTTATTAATATTAGTACTATTGCTTGCTGTAAGTATACGTATCAATATTGCCAACTATAAATTAGTGTTAGTGCTCATGTTCGTGTTAGAGTTAGCGCTAGTGCCAGTGTCAATGTCAGTAATACAGCACCACTGCTACGAGTAGTATCAGTATCAGTCTTAATGCTGGGTTTAACAGCAGCTTATATTCGCAGAAGTGCTAGTATTAGTATCAATATTAGAACTAGTTAGTTTTGATATGTTAGTATATTGATAGTCTCGTATATTAGCAGATTAGTATATCAATACATCAATGTATTCGGACAGCAAAATATTTGCATACTTGTATACTAGTATATTTTACATGTTAGTACAACTGGTGCATGACTACACTACTATACTGCTGTATTAGCTTACTAGTATATTGACATACCAGTATATTCGTACGTTAGCATATTAGTGTACGAATATGTGTACTATATTACTGTTTTATCTAATCATGTATAAGTATATCAGTATGTTGGCATATTAGTATACGAACTTGTCATGTCGGTATTCTTGCATAGTGCAGTAGCCGTATATGATTATAGTCACATATTCGTATAGTATATTCATACAACAACGAGAAGTATATTGATACATTGGTATATGGGTATATGCCTATGCCAAAGCATTAATACATGAATGCACTGATGTATATATCTGTATCTTAAGATAGTGGTACGTATTTTATGTACATGAGTATATGCAGGTGTCTATTAGTAATGGTATTAGTTTTCATATCAATATGAATATACTATTGGTATTCGTAGGAGTATTAATGTCAATACTAGTAGAAGTAGGACTATTTATACTCGTAATAGCCATAATATGAGTGTTCATGCTGGTAATACTAGTGGCATTCTTGAATATGCAGCAGATTATCAAAGTCCGTATTAGTGTTGGTGATAGCACTACTGTTAACGCACAAGGGTTTACGTATTCGTATTCGTAGGAGTATAAATAGCTATGTAAATATTGATGTTAGTATAGATTTTGTGTTAAGTATTAGCAGTAGTGTTAGCGTTAGTACTATCATATTATTGATGATATACATTCGAAAGAATGTTTGTATTGTTATTACTCTTGACCACGTGAAATTCTAACAGTTGAATTCATGAGTGAGTTAAAGGATTTGTATTTTAATATGGTGGTATGCATGTTTATGTACATTAGTACATACAGGTGTGTGTTAGTATTGGTATTATTATACATTATTATCAATATGAATATGGTTATTGATATGCGTAGGAGTACTAAGAGCAATACTAATCAATCTTAGTATTTGTGTTATGCATATTCGTACTAAGCTTTATAGAAGTGTAATATTAGTAGTAATGCTGGTATTAGCTTGAGCATTCAACAAATGATCAATGTCAGTATGTTCAATGGCAATACTATATGTAGGAGTATCAATACATATATGTATATATAGATATACAGATAGATAGAGAGATATTCGTGTAAATATGGGCATGAGTATTGACAGCCCTTGCCTTTGCAAGTAATCTGGTCCGATGCGGAGACTAGCACGACAAGGCGCGCGGGTGTCCTACCAAGAAAGGAATTACAGAGCACACGTGTATGGATGAGGGTTGTGCTGATACACTACATAGTAAGCACTACACAGTAATCTTACTTGAGTCATATATAGAACAGATTCCAGCATTTCCAAAATTTCCAAAATTTCCAAAATTCTCTCCCCTAACTTTCCGCATTTCCAAAATTTCCAAAATTTCCAAAATTTCCGAAATTTCCAAAATTTCCAAAATTTCCCGACCTAGTCGACAGGATTTTTCCAAAACATAAGGGCGGACTTTTTGGAAATTTTTGAAATTTTGGAATTTTTTTGGAAATTTTGGAAATTTTGGAAATTTCGGAAATTTTGGAAATTTTGGAAATTTTGGAAATCCGGAAAGTTAGGGGAGAGAATTTTGGAAATTTTGGAATTGAGGCTTTGAAAGCTGAGTGCCCCCTCCCCCCGATCACAGACCATGCACTACGACTGAGTCGAAAGGGCATGGTCTGTCATGGGGGGGGGGTGACCATATATATATATATATATATATATATATATATATATATATATATATATAGTATCTAGCGGTTTCTATGACCTGATGAGTTTATTTGTATTGTATTATGTTCGAGTGTATTCTGCTAGGTTATATGTTATCTCACCATATTCCATTGCATTTTATTATATCATGTTTTCTTAGGTCCGGATCACAAGTGATAGTATTCCTTCCAGCCCCATACAGCCTCTGTGCGAACATAGTAGGCTATCCCAAAACCTTACCTGATTATTTATGTATAGTCCTTGTCGGTCAGAGATCGTTCTTCCAGCTCTTTAGCCCAAGGACGCCCTTGTCCGAACAGCTGTGCTACTGCAGGCTTACTTTCATCAAGCCGAGTGCTTGTCGTCTGGGCCGCAGAAGACCCGCAGAAGGTTCGATCAGAAGACCTCCCTGTTTAAAGCACCCGAACCCTACGAAATGAGGCCCAGAGAGCCTCAAATCCCCTGAACTTCGAAGACTCAAAGCCGCCGCACTAAGGCTCCAAAGCGTGCCAAAAGGAAGATTGGAAGTTCCACCGGCGGACGTGCAAGCCAATGACCGACGCAGAGCGAGCGCAGAAATCGGCGGCTCGGCTTGACTACCTAGACCCCCCAAAGTAGGTAAAATTATGGCCCAAAACCTATAAAAGGCAATTATTCTACATACTTTTGGGGTCCAGGTATCGGTTAATTACTACAGGTACAGTTTGGAGTTATTCAATTCTCGTCGCCGCTGCATGTGTGATTTAGACCTAACGTCTGCAGTGCAGTAGTACCACTGAATAGAGTATCGATAGCTGAATTTCGATAGCTCCTACGACCGTCCTAAGAAGGCTCCCCAGGGTATAGGGCTCGGTGGATCTTCATAGGAGTCCAAAAGGGGTTTTAGCCTATGGGGGTTTAGTAGGGATTAGGGTTCCCATAAATAGGGTTCATATTAAGGAATCCCTACCCCAAGAATCTCAAACCCCCCTTCTGGCCTCCCCTCAGCTCTTAGCCCTTCAAGTTCCCTAGGATCCTGTAAGATGGTTCTATGCAAGACGACTAAGCAATGATATTGGGGGAGCTAAGGAGCCAGGGATGATGATAATCCCTACTAGATAAGGAGCTAAAGAGCCAAGGGACCCTAAACCCTAAAGCCCCCCAAATCACTGGTTAGACGAAGCGCCCTCGCATGGGCCCAGGTGGATGATCAGGTCGATCTGGTGACGCGAAAGGCGGCCGAGAAGGAGAAACCACGGCCTGCTGTAGGGGCCTTATTATAACCTGAACCCCAGAAGTATGTAGAATAATAGCCTTTTACAGGTTTTGGGCCATAATTTTACCTACTTTGAGGGGTCCAGGTATTGTAAGTCATAGTATAATGGGCCCCCAAACTTCAAACCCTGTTCTTATTATTAAGGCCCCTAGATTAGGCTTCCATAAATCCCCCCCTAAAACGCAAATCCTCAATGCCGACCGACAGTGGCGCCGACATGCGGAGCGGCTTCACCCTGGAGCGTTCAAACTGGGAGTGGGTAGACCCTAGCCGGATTCGGGCCTTAATACTATTTGATTGGGGGGTCCCTTGAAAAAGGGGGTTCTTTAAGGGATCCTAGACGGATGCTCTAAGGGCAAGCGCATGGGGTCGTTCACGGTTTCGGGTTGCCAAGATCCGACAATTGAGAGTCTCTGCCCCAAACGATCCGGGGACCTTGAGCCTTAAATGGGAGTTTCCGAAAAACAGGGGACCCTAATATAGTACCCTAAATAGTAGGATCCTTATTATAAGGGCCCCAAAGTAAGGTACCCCCAATTTTCGGAAACTCCAAAATCCTGATGCCCAGGATGGGTCCTCCAGGTTTCCAAGCCTTGTATTGAAAGTAGCATGAACCCAGTGATTATGCTTATAGGCCCAAGCACCTTTCAGGCCTAGATGCACCCGAAACCTGGTAAGCCTAATATAGTTAGTTTGTATATATATATATAAATATAAATATAAATACACCTTCATCTGTACAAAAGGGGTGTAAATGTATATGTAAATACATACATATATATATATATATAATACATATATACATACATACATACATACATACATACATGCATGCATGCATGCATGCATGCATGCATGCATGCATGCATACATACATATATACATATACATATATACATATTGTACATATGTACATATGCATCTACCCATATTTAATGAGTGCTTCGTTGGAGGAGTTCCGCCGCATGAAGCTGGAAGAGTATCAGCGAATGGTTGCCATGTCCAAGGGCCTCTGAAGCTTACGAGCCTTTCGGGGCTCCTGGGGTTTAGGGGTTCAGGGTTTAGGGTTTAGGGGTTTATGGGTTTAAGAATTTAGGGTTTCAGGGGTTCAGAATTTCGGGTTCAGGATTTCGGGTTTAGGGGTCTAGGGGTTTAGGGGTTTAGGGTTTAGGGGTTTAGGGTTTCTATGGCCGAGTACTGCACCTGCACACAGTTGGGTGAACACGAAAGGCCGTCATGCAAGGATCTGCAAGCCGAGTTTCAAAAAGGGCTTAGGAGCTACTCAGTCTTTGCTGCCAAGGGGTTTAGGGGTTCAGGGTTTAGGGCCGTGATGCAAGGATCTGTCCAGGCCCTAAGCAAAGTTGCAAAACAGGATTACTTGTTGTAGGCCATATAGAGGTTTAGGGCTTAAGGCAGTTATGGTGCATTGTGTTCTGATTAGTGAAGCTTCCTGAAGGTTAACAGGTACGGTCCCGTGGCAGTGATGGGGCTGATTCCTGGCAGCCGCAAGCTGCGCAAGGGCTTTGTACCGAGAATTCATCTCGGCAAGCGCCGGGGGCTTCATTCCTAAACCGGATTGCATAAACGATCAAGGTTCTAAGCCTTCCAGGGCTTCGGGCTTACCTCACCCTGCAATCATGAAACCCAAGGACTAAAGACTAGTACTACTTAGCGATCCATGCTTTGCATCCCTGACCGAGTCTGGGGTGACCAGTGCTCCAATGTCGTGCGGGCACCAAAAAGGTTGTCGGGGGCATCGTGAAGCGTGGGATCTTATGGAAGGCTTTGGAATTCATCCTTGTGAAGGTTTGATATTATAGCCTAAATAATTACCTATACCGGTTTGGGGGTTCCTTATTATGCTTGTAGCATCATGGGCCCCAAAACCCGATTCTAATTATTAAGGCCCCTACAGATTACCTGTTTCCGTTCTTTGACCTTGGCTTAGTAGCTGAGTGGTTACACTTTACACCATTTGGGATAATATGACCCGCAATAAAACTAAAAGAGTACACTTTTTTGGACTTATGAACCCAGCAACTAAGTTGGATGAACCAGGCCAAAGTTGAGCCTGGACTGCAGGCACCTCGCGCGAGATCTAGGCCCACGCAACATCACGGTCAACGCCATCTCGCCAGGGCGCGCAGGGACAGCTTTGGGACTTCGGGGCAGGGCCAGGGCAGATCGGGTTTTGGTGAAGACTTGGGCGTAGGGGATGCTTGTGGGGCATTTGCCTGGTTGTAATGGAATCGCTTGGCTATTGGGGTGCAGCAGTTTGGCTGTTAGTGCCTCCGCACCAGCAGATTTGCTTCTGTGGGGATGTGAGAATGGTGGCTCGTCATCCTAGAGAGGATTTAGTTTAGAGGGCCTTCAAGTGAAGGGGCCTGGATGCAAGAGGCTTGTGAAAATTGGATGGGCTTGGTGATCTGATTCTTAGTAGCTGAGTGGATACACTTTACACTGTTTGGGATAATATTACCCACTATGAAACTAAAAGTGTACACGTTTTTGGGCTTATGAACTCAGCTACTAAGGATTGCACAGGCACCACGGGGCTATGCTTGGACCTTGCTCGTCTGAGATCGGAGCAGCCTTCAGTGAATTTGAGGGCCCGGCGAATCTTGTTCACGCGTTAAGCCCTTCAAGCCAAAGCCATGATGCTCAATAGTGCGCCCTAGAATATCCGAACAATTCGCAGATATAGCATCTCTGAGTTAAAACTAAGGAAGTGTCAGAAACAAGGGGACACGCAGATCTTAAACAGTCTAGCAGTTGAGTATTACAAGGACCCTACAGTGATGATGTGCCCGGCTTTTTCGAGTCCACCCCAGCCATAGCTCCCGTCCAGGCCTTTCTTCAGCAGAATGCTGGCGAGCAACTACAGGCCCCTTGAGGTTTTTAGAGTGTATAAGGCTAAGAGGTACCTTATTGAGCTCCATTATGAGAGGGTTTGTATGGGAAATCCGTATCCTAATCTTTACTTATGTGCTTTCTTGGTGCCTAACATCCTTGCACGCTCACAGCTCCTCGAAGTGCTTCAGTCTTTCGTAATTCTGCAACGACTGTTACAGTGTTACAGACACAGGAAGCTCGTAATCGTGCAGACCCCGATATTGCACTTGTTTACACAGACGAGCTACATCTACTGCAACTAGAAATCCGTTGTGTAATGTGGCCTGACGTCTGCGGCTCTTCAATGAGTCAGGTGATGCACCGATCGTCAGATGCCTCACTCTGTCAGTGATCTGTGATCCAACCTTTGGGCACGGAGCAAGGTCACACCAAAACAAGATTAAAGTTTAGGTCCTCAAAAACCCTTGCTAGGTAATGACCGAAGACTAAAATCCTCGAAGCTGCCGGACCCAACACAAAGCACAAAGCCCGCAACAGGGGGGCAATGTCCAGGGTTTACCTGGAGGGTAGTTAGAAGAAGAGTCACAAGTCCCCGAAGATGGCTTATGATTATAGTATAGTTACCCGACTTATAAGCCCTACCTATGACTAAATGTGAACCTGCAAGTAAGATAGCCCAAACCCTCCAATGGTTCGTTCCAAGGCCTGGGGCCAGGGCAGGGCAGGGCAGGTTCATCTCCATAATGCGGGTTCCTGCACGTACCAACGCCAGAGGTACCAAACTCGTTTCGGGCCCAAACTCCTGCAGCCTTCCACCCAAATCCCTGGTGCCAGAAAGCCCAGTGCCTTTTTTCAGGCCCAAACTTCAGCCTTCCAGCCCCGAATCCCCGGCCAGTGCAAGAGAGGCCTGCATACGAGAACTGGCAGAATCCAGACCATCCGGCAGTCAAGAGCTTCAAGGCCCCCCCCTCTGCTGTTGGATCAAACCGCCCACTGGGTTTTTCGGAGTTTCGGGCTTCTTGGGGGGGGTCCTTATTATATTTATAGTATAATGGGCCCCAAAACCCTATTCTAATTATTAAGGCCCGGTTTTACCATTGTTCCATAGTTAGGGAGTTACGGAGCTTTTCTTTGTGGTTGCTCTGTGTGACTTCCTGTGGTGCTGACATCTCTGGCCACCCCAAACCCTAGTTCATGAATGCATATGAATCCTTGACCCCAAGCCGTACCCTAAAAGCCTAGAGAAATCAAGACTTTGTGGGTCCTAAGCTCGAACTCAAGAACCCTCGGATGGAGCGTTTGAGACTGAGAGTGCAAAGCACCCACTTCAGGGTGTACACAGTGTGCTGTAGGGCTTCATGGTGTAGGGCTTAAAGGGAACTCCAGAAAGTTGGAATATGGTTTCAGGGTAGGATACCCTATAATTTGCCATAAAGGGTTTAGGATAATCATATTCCAACTTTCTGGATTCTACTGTATGGTGTGCAGTTTATGGAGGGAGCTATACTCTTCTTGTCCTTATGGGGTTACGTATATAGACCCCGCAGTGCAAGCACAACAAGCCATGCCCTTGTGAACCCGAATCACACGGCATACTTGGAGGTTCATGGGTATAGTTATAAGTAAGGTTATACTTCCCCTAATAGTGTTCATAGTAACTGTTACCCTTATAAGCCCCACTTATAACTACCCATGAACTTCCAGGAACACTCCACATATCCCAACTCTGGGAGCCAAAGAGATCCCAATCACCGAGCGCCAAGAGCGAAAATCTCAAGTCTTTGAAGCTTACGATGTTGACTCAAAGCTAGACCGGGCCGTGCAAGCCGAGCCGTTTGGGGAGTGGCCCGAATTGCAGACACAGGCTCACATCGCGTCCGGGAACCCTATGAAGCGTCTGGGCGAGACGCACGACATCGCTGGGACGACGAAGCTTGGCGGCATATGTCACTGGGAGAGCTAAGCAATGTAGTAAGAACAGCAAGACTTGCACGAACAGGATTCGTCATCATCACCACTATCAGCACGACCGATGTAGTAGGCATCACCTTCATGTTCTTCATCGCCACGGAAGCCGTCACCAACGCCAGCAGCCGCACCATCACCGAATCATCATGACCAATGTCATCATCGTCCTGGTCGTCGTCATTCTCTTCACGACCCTTCTCAGAGCCCATCATGGCAGTAGCAGGGTTTGAGTCGGTTAGGACCTTTGGCTTCGCAGTGGAGTCTTGTGGTTTTGTGGTGTGTGTATATATAGTTACGTGTACATATATATATATATATATATATATATGTATGTATGTATATATACATATATATATACATGTATACGAAGGAAGCATCACGATCGGAACGTGTCCCAATCTCATCGTGGAGCCCGAAGCCCGACCGGTGCAGCTTCGCCTGAAAAGCCCTTTAGTGCGAGAGCTGAAACTCCCCGGCCCCAAATGCTAGGGGTACCTTATTTTGGGGTCCTTATAAGAAGGATCCTACTATTTACATAGAGTACTGTATTAGGGTCCCCTATTTTCGGAACCCCCCAAATTTCTGGGAAGTTCGGGGTCTTGAGCCATTCTTAGACCATACCTGGACCCTCAGGAACCTACATTTCTAGGGTTCCTTATTATGATTTCCTTATATGGGTCCTTAAAAGGTAGGTTATTTGGGGTTAAGGTAAACCTTAAGCCCTAGGCCCTAAACCCTAGACCCGAAACCCTGCACCCCGAACCTACACCCTAAACTTGACACTCTAAATCCTTCAACCTACTTGGAGGATCATGAGACTTAGTAAGTCGGGATATAAGTACCTTAACTGGGGTTATAAGTAGATATAACTTTAGTTTCTTACCTCTTCACTATTCCTCAAATATCCGCCCCCATTTCCGTCGATGGCCGATCTTGATGCAGGATCTTCCTCATCTCGCGCGCAGGACGCCGCTGACAGAAGAGCTCTGATGTCTTGGGTTCTGAAGGTTTTGGGAAGTCTGCACAATGATTAGCCTGATGTTGTCCGGCAGGAAGCTATGTCAATGGCGCCACGATCAATGTCGATGGGGGGGTCTGGATTGGATCCAAGCTGTGAGCTGGCTATCGACGAAACAGCGCGGACTTTGTATTGGGGTAGAGTCCTCCCACAGTCGGGCACCTTGCACCCTAAACCCCAAGCCGCTTCAAGCTCCCCAACAAATGGGGGTTGAAGCGACAGGTTAGAATTAGGCCAACCGTCACCAAGCCCGTCAAAGCAGGATTCTGCCTCTTCCTGGCGTTACCGATAGTCTGCATAGCTGTAATTAGTAGGTTTTGGCTTAGCAAGAAGGGTTAGTTCCTATTTGTTGGAAGCAACAAGGAGCCACAATGGGGACTGGACCCTAAACCCTAACCCCTTAGCCTAAACCCCTAAACCCTTATGTACCCCTAAACCCTAAACCCCTCAACTGTAACAGCACGTAACCGGTCCGAAGGCCGAATCGCCAGGAACTCCTAGAAGCCTGGGTCGCAAGGCCCTTCACCTTTAGACCCGACACAAACTCTTGTAAACTGTGAGCCAAGGCCCCAAGCTGTTAAGGCAAAAGCTCCGGGGCTCAACCCAAAACCCATAATCCGGAAAGGCTGCGGGACCTGAGTCCCCAAAACGAGCTCTCGTTATTTTTTCCCTCAGAAGCATTAGGAGATCTTTCAATCTCCAAAGTCTCAGAAAAACCTTGAAATCCAAAGTCCCATAACACCCAAGCCCCTTGCCAGTCCCATTGACAGGGCGACCACTTGAGCTCCGTGAAACAGCGGGCCTACTCCTTCGCCATCCTCTCAGAGAGGGAGCACAGATGATTGGCTAAAGGTTCTTTTCAGCGTTCTAGAGGGCTTATGGGTTTTGGTTTAGGGGTTACGGTGTTCCAGGAAGGATTCTATAGGGTTCTATAATCTAGCCTCACCTTTCAGGGTAATTCCTACGTACTACGGGTCAGGGTTCTGTAATGGGGTTCCCGCTAAGGGCACCATTACGGTTCTGTACTCGGGTTCCTTTAAGGGCATCCTATTCTATAGCACCCTTAAAGGGGACCTTATCACAGAACCCCTAGAGCAACTTAAAGGAACCCTGAAGGGTTCTCTCGTGGGGCTTCCGAGTCTGAGTCTCAAGCTTTGGGTTACGATTTCGGCCTCAAGGATTGAGGGGTTGGGCTTCTTTGGGCACTATCGTGGTGGAGAGCAAGATGTTGCAATGGTTTAACGATCTGTATTCTTGCTCATTCGTGAGCATGCATCAAGTGACACCGTAAACCCTGCACTCTATTTCATCGCCATGCTGTAGCAGTGGTAGTCGTCGTCGTAGTAGTAGCTTGGTCCATATACCGTCAGCCCTAAACCAGTAGCAGTCAGAATGGCATAAACTGTAGATGGAGCCCTTTCTGGCGTCCCAACACGGTATTAGCATGCCCCGATCAGGCCTCCGGCAGTGATGGTTTAACCGCGCCTCAGTTCGAAAGCCTCTGTGCGGGCCTCGGGTGCGGTGAAGGGTGAAGGGTACATGGCCAGGGTAGGGCCAGGGGCGACGATCATAGCTGCACTGAGAAATCACAAGGCCAGCAGCAGAGACAAACACCCACGCAGCCGGAAAATCCAATAACATTATGAATTAGGACAATGTCAAGTATCTCATCTTTTGCTGCATGCGTAAGGCACCAGATGTACAAGAAGAAGACTGATGATAGCAAGAAACAACGGACCGTTCATGAGGTTTCGGGTGATCCCCACCGCCATTCCAATCGATTGCGGCCTCTTGTTCCTTCCCTTCCCTTCCTTTCGGGGCACGGGGACCATGTTCGGGGCCTCCTTGCGCTTATGTGGCTTCTTAAGTTTCCTGTGTTGCCATGGGTTTGGAGGTTTAAAGTTCAGGGTCTGGGCTCTAGGAGTCTAGGGCCCCAGGATGTGAGGGTTCAGGTTCAGATCCGTCGGTTGCAAGACGAGTCGATGCAACACTCTTTAATATACAGGGGCCTGTCGTATGACCAATGGTATTTTGGGGGGCGGTGTCCTTATTGTGAGTATAGTACAATGGGCCCGGAAACCCGATTCGAATTATTAAGGCCCCTGTATTACCTTGCCTGCATGTGTGTCGCCGAGGCAAAGAGATGATGGCGGAGCTGTATGCCAGTCTTTAAGCTAGACTGTATTGTTTAATTCTTGTACAGCTGCGTCACCATGGATCGTTTCATGCCCACCAGCAAAAGAGAGCCTCATTGTAGAGTTGAAGGTGCTTCCGGTGACGAGCCAGGCGTTCTTCTCAACATCATATTGCCCATAGTTTGTCGCAGGCACAGGTGCAGACAGGCTTGCGTTAATCTGCTACTCATGCTACTGAATGCTTTATCGTATCAGTAGTGTCAGCGCGCCTAAGAGAAACCAGGCCACGGAACAACGCATCTCGCAAGTCAATCTTGGAGGCATCCCAACTCGAACGGGTAAGTTGGGGCAGACCATGCCACACCCCTTGCCAGCCACATCTTAGCAGGCAGAAGCCATCAGCCCAGCTGACATTGCCGCTTTGAATCAATGTGTGTTCGCGTGATCGGCCGCCTCGGTGTGCTCTGGAGCTCTGCTGAAAGTTCCCAAGCCCGCTGCCACTCTGGATTGCACAGCACCCGCTGACGCATGCTTGCTTAGATCAAAATGAAGCACGAATCTAAGCCGGCTCGATAAGCGGAGTTCTCTGGTTTCTTAGCCGAGTCGTTACCCATAAGACGGATAGTGCTGGCGGTCTCCAGGCTCCTTCCCCGTTCTTGCAACTAATTAATCAGTCTCCGTAGAATTTGCTTAGCCCTGCATACCCTTTTCCGGCAGATCCCTGCATCTGGAGCAGGCGAGGCGCTCTGTGATGCTGTCCCGAGTTTCGTCTGTCAGAGTTCTTGAGAGAGGCATGTGTTTGTATGAGTTCAGAATGCTGACTCTGACAGGAACCCATCTTAACCCTAAACCCCTGAAGCCTAAACCCTAAACCCTAAACTTAAACCGTACCCCTGAAACCCAACCGGACAAATCGCAAAAAAAATTGTCAGCTGTCGGTTGCAGCCAACATATCTCGCGAATATAGGGGCCTTAATAATTCGAGAAGTGTTCTGGTGCCCATAATCCCAAAGCAGGGGACCCTAATATAGTACCCTAATTAGTAGGATCCTTATTAAAGGACCCCCCAAGTAAGGTACCCCTAATTTTCCGGAAACTCCCATAAGGGGCCATAATACTATAAACGGGTGCCCTATTCGCTAAGTTGCGGAAGGACGTCACATGGGGTGCTGTGCTTCTGCATCCTTGGCCTCGGATCCGGTAGAGGACAGCCATGGGTTCGTTTAGGGGTTTAGGGTTCAGGGTTCACGGATGCACGCGCCCCTCGGTCAACAGGATCAAGGGGTGAAAGTTCTGGCTAGATTTCGAGTCCAGTGGCAAAAAAACGGGTTCACGGATGGCCAGCATACTAGATAGAATCTCTGAACTATAGTGTTTGGAATTTTTGCAAACTTGCAGTTCCCTTTGTACACCGTATAAGGCCTACGTTGAGGATTGAAAGGTTTCGGAGTCGTTCTTCGCGCCTCGCAACTCGATTCCCACTAGCAGGTCAGAGATGCACTCGCCAGCAACCATGAAACCTTGTACTTGTCTGTTCTAGCTGCTGAAGTTAGGTTGGTACTTTCGCTACAGTGGAACGCCTGTCGAGTGTATTGGTCTTGCGGGCAGGTCAAGGTCATCTGTGCTATATTGAAGTCTTCGTGGGTGACCGTTTCCAGACGGTTGGTTTCCTGACACTAACCGGCCTCGAACAGTTGAGTTAGCACATTGAGCTACCCTCCGTGCTTTGAAATCGGAATGTTTGCAATGGCTTTGATCTCGGGCAGGTCAGGGTTGTGTGTATATCATGGTTGTTATATTGGTTGCTGCTAGCCTTTCGCAATAATGATCTACCTGAGGTAGACAAGCCGAAACTGGGATACCTACTGTGGTAGGTAGGAATCGCGCCTTTCTCTCTCGGTTGCTGTCGGTAAACTCGTAAACCTTACGCTAATACAGACTTAAAGGCCTTAAGCCCTAACAGTCTAACAGGCTCAGGAGAAGAGGCCTGAAACAACAAGACAGCCATAACCGCACCGGAAGGAGAAGGAGCCGGAGACACCTTATAGTATAATGGGCCCCAAAATCCTATTCTAATTATTTAGGGTCCTTACATCAAGCCCTTATAATTATAGATCCCTTCAAAGGATCCCTTTAAGGGAACTCTACTCCATTTGTTTAGGGCCCCTATATTGGTTCCTACCAAGCCGGAAGGAGAAGGAGCCAGAGACACCTTGTAGATGGGCACTAAAATCCTATTCTAATTATTTAGGCCCCTACATAAAAGAACCTTATTATAGAACCCTTGAAGGAACCCTATATTAGTTCGATCAAGCCGGAAGGAGAAAGAGCCAGAGACACCTGCAAATGTTCGAGAGTCAGGAGCTCAAGCAGTTGGCGAGGAGTTTAGGGTTTAGGGTGTAGGAGCACATTGGGAAGCACGGACTTGGAGCGTATGCCGCACTCCAAGTCCGTGCTTAAAAGGGGTTGAGGAGTTTAGGGGGTTTTAGGGTTAAGGGTTTAGGGGTTTCATGGGGCCGTCATGCGCGGATTTGGCTAGTCCCCAAGCCCAGTTAGAAAAACGAAGGGGGTTTTAGCGGGGTTTACGGTAGTTTAGGGTTTAGGGTTAGGGCTTTAGGTTTCCAGGGCCGTTTGGGGTTTACGGGGTCTTTGTGTATGGTTTACGGTTGTAGGTTTGAGCTGGTTAGAGGTTCAGGGCTTAAGGGCTATGAGGCTTTTAGGGTTTTGCGGCTTTCGAGTGGGGCTCTGCAGTTGCAGTGTAGGGCTTCAGGGCTGTACGCACAAGCCTGGATTGCAAGAGGGTTCCATTCCCATGCCCGGCATGTCCAGCCGGCGGGACATTCAACAAGAGCACAGGGGCTCCTGATATTTCCTGACCTCACCAGGGCCAGAATTTGGAACATGAGCCAAGCTCGTGTAAGTAATACAGTATTGCTTGGGCTGAACAAAAATTCGGGATCGTATCCCCTTGAAGTCTCTATGCTAGAACCTGCCCTTAACATTATCCCAGATCTTGGTCTTGCCCTTGGGTGGTGCCTTTACTGAAGCGTCCGGGTCCAGACAATACTTAAAGGATCATGGGACTTAGTACCTCGGGTTATAATTAAGGTAACTATACTTACAGTTACTTATAACCTCAATTAGGGTACTTATAACCGCACTTACTAAGTCCCATGATCCTCCAAGTAGGTGTTGGGCTGAAGATGGCTTCGGCTGGGGGCCTGCAGTTTGCACTTTCTTACTTGTAGGGTTTTTAGGGTTTAGGGGTGTAGGGGTTCAGGGGTTTGGGGGTTTGGGGTTTAGGGTTTAGGATTGTACTGTCCGTGTTTGTTTCTGAGCCTGGTGGTGGTAGACTAAAGGTGGATTAAACCTGAAACCCCAACGGTGGTAGCTACATTCGAAGCGCAAGTATTTCGTTCAACGGCGTGACCTAGCCTCGGGTAGGAAGTGCAAGGGCAGAGGGTATGCGGCATCGAAAACTAAAAGTGCAGCGTAAAGCCCCTAAAGCTACAAACCCTGAAGCCCTGTAAACCTGAAACTCCCAAACCTGCAAGAAAGGGCCCCAACCCTAAACACCAAAACCCAAAACCCGTAGCAAAGCCCTACCCAATCCTACACCCTAAACCCCAAAACCCTCAACTCCAAAGCCCCACCATAAAAATCGCGAAGCCTCTCGGGGATGGCCCTGGGACTCCTCTTTTGCACGAGCTCAGGGCGGTGGCAGTGGATGAGACCCACCACAAGACCGTCCACGAGCGCCTGAGGCCCCCGGGCTCCCCTCTTACAGTTTAGAGTTTAGGGTTTAGAGTTTAGGGTTTGGGAGCCAGGGTCTTCGAGTGTTAGGGCTTGCGGCTTAGTTGTTTTCGGGTTTAGAGCTCGAGCTTTGCGTGCTTGAGCTTGGATTTTGGGTTTCGCCACCGTCCTGGAAGGAAGCCCTCTCTGGCATCCAGCAGGTCCAGTTTCGAAGGGTTTATCCCATGGATTAAGCATCAGATGCCGAAAGACCTACAGCAACAAACAGGAAGAGCTTCAAGAGACCCTAAACCAAAAACCCTAGATGCCATTATTTGCTGAGCATGTATTTTGGGGCTTTGGGGCAGGTGCTAGTGACGAGGCGGCCCAGTCGGCTGAACAAAGCCTAAACCCCTAAACCCTACGGACATGTAGAGACCCAAAATCCCCAAATCCCAAGCCCTAAACCCCTAAACCCTAAACCCAGCGGCGATCTGATACCCCCGCTTGATATATGATGTGTCTGAAGCTGGCATGAAACGAAGCATGAAGGCAGCTGTAACAGAAGGGATAGGGAAACTGTTTCACCTACCCTTCACAGGGACCGAACTAGAAGGTTGTCTTTTACGTCGTTGTGGGGATTAGTGCCGAGTGCTCCTGGTGAAGGGCTGCTGTCAACGTGCTGCGCACCTATGATCCCATGAGTGTGACTTGTTGTTGGCGTGGAATGTTTAGCATGATTAACGGCACGGCTTACTAGGTGATACCTACCTGACAAGCTAGCACAGCTTGAATGTTGTCGGAACTCGTGTCGCTGCGAGTGTGAGTGTCAAAAGCATCCAGCGGCCATGGGCCAGGAATTTGCGGGAGCTGGACTCTACCACGAAAGTCCCCTTCATCCTCATAGAGCTCACAGGACTTCTGGTGTGCAAAAAAGGGTTGTAAGGTTGGACTTGAGTCCAGTAGCCAGAGAAAAGGTTTAGGGTTTCGATTCGGGGTCTGGGTTTTACCTATAGTCTCCGTTGTAGTTCCTTTTTTGGTTAACCAGTTTTATGGTTAGGATCCTATAATAGAGATTTGGTTAACCCCAAAAAAGGAACTACAATGGAGACTATAGGTAGGTTTCCTGTCTACAGCTCAGCGCTGCTCCAGGGGATGTTCTGCAGGAGAAGGCGACGGCGAGGGTGAGATTGAGGTAACCGGCAAGGACGAGTACGGAGTGTACGAGGCGCAAGAGGGTCAGATCCGTGCAGCTCAGCAAAGGATTCTGCAAATTCCTACAAGCTTTCCTGTAAGGGTTGCTACAAGTTCCGACTTACACGGGTGCTTGGTGTGCTAAGGTACGCCGGCATGGTGATGAAAACTTTAAACTCTATTCCCCCAGCCCCAAACCATGAATCAAATTCCCCGACCCTCACAAATCCGAAGGCAATATACCCTAAGCCGAGCCTATCATTTTGCGACTGCAGGCTTTGAACAACTTCTTCGTTAACACCTGGGGCTGCGATCCTCTGGACCCAGGCATGTGGCGGGCAGTTGCACTTATGATGCATAGCCAACATATGGCTCATGATCCAGCAGTTTAGAGGCTTAGAGCTCTGGGTCTTTAGACTTCTGCAATCTCGGGTCGGGTCGCTACACGTTTTCTCCTGGAAGAATTCGTTCGGAGCTGCTCACGCGATTCTGAGCCACTGGCCACAGGCGAACGCAGATTCCGTTTCCCATGTTCGGATTTGATCTCACAGGTTTGTGTCATAGGCCAGCCCAAGGTGCACATGAGACAGCTTTCAATTTCGATTGGAGGTTGTATCCCGCAGGCGCTGCGTCTTGCAGTTTTGTGTTGTAAGCTACGCAACTCGGAGCCCTCTGTTGGAGGCACCAGCATTCCGCTAAATGCTGCCAGGTGACGAGACAGAAGACACTAAAGTGCCGTTTTGCTCCGCACAGCTCCTTGTCTGAACCTCCAACCCTGAACGCTGAAAACCCCAAAACGCTACAGAACCTTTCATCATAAGTAAGTATACAAATATGTATATATATATATGTGGCCTGTCTACTACACTTGTTGAACCCTTATGGTTATAGTACCCTTGTGGATGCACGAGCCCTGTCGTGTGCGAAGGGCTTGCAAAACCCGGGGGAAGTTCCCGTAGCTTCACATGGGTGTCTCTCAAGTATTGTTTTAGTCAGGGGGCTTAGTTTCTGTAGGGTTTAGGCTACTGACGCAGAGAGTTTGATAGTTGATTTTCTAAGAGGTGGCTACATCCAGTTCCACGTTTGGTAGTTTCGTGAAATTAGGAGAAGGATCCTCAATCCTGGGGGTAGTAACTGCCCATCCCAGGCTTTTCATGATTCGGATTGCCTCGCAGACGGCTACCTCCAGCCCCCAACCCTAATCCACTAAACCAATGCGGGAGGCAGAAAGAGCCCCAACCCGTTTTGAACCAAAGAACCCGAAAAGCATTCGAGGTACAGGTGGCCTGGTTACTCTGTCAAAGGCGATGATGGCTTGAACAATCAGGGGCTCATGACTATGAGACTCATAGTGACGCGGCTGCAGGTTGATTGTTGGAGTTGAGTTGTTAGGGCTTAGCGAAGTTTTGCAGAAGGGCATCATTTGTTATTATTGGTATATACTGTATACCTATGTGGCGAGTGCTTCTTCAAGTCTTCAAGTTCACATAGTGCAGCCACTAGAGCAGTCAGCTCACTCCAAGTTCGATAGATCTCCTTTCAAACCACGGCCAGAGAATCCCATAAAACCGAGCTTTGCTGTAGCAGCAACGAGGTCTCGAAAGAACAGCAGTGAGCAACGGTAAAGGCAACGAAGAGAGGTCATTATAGTTATAAGATAGAAGACGACATCCGGTAGAAACCCCTCCCAGTTTAACCATCGCAGGAGCCTGGACGATGATTCGTAAGCCGCGCTTAAAACTTTCGCTGACGGGGCTTTTGGGTTGAGGATTTCGAGCGCGGGATGTAGAGTTCCTGTATAGAAACTTGGAATCTGGTTTTGGGGTTCGGGCATCGGGAGGAGGATCCCGAGATTTGTGGGACTTTTCGCTGAACCTCAGCTGTGCTACAAGTATTTACATATAGGTATCGAGCTTCAAGGAAGGGACGTAGGGTTCAGGATTGCAGGGTTTCAGGTATAGCTTAGTGGCTTAGTTGAGCTCGTTCTGTGTCTGGCCTTGTTCAGAGAACAGGTGCGACACATCCAGGCGGGATTCACACAAGCCTGTGCGCAAAGGTGTAGAAGGATACACTGCGTCACTGCAGGTTTCTGTCTTGGTGCCCGTAACATGAATCCTACACTACCACCGATGACTCTAAACCCGAAGCCCTAAGCACAACACTCACGTAATTACGTAATTATTCAAGACGAAACACCTTATTGCACCCGAAGCCCAGAACCAGAAGCCTCGAAACCTTGCTTAGCCCGACATCCCAAGTCCACCCCTTCCAAGGACTTCATGTGTGGAAACTTAAGCTGGACACTGGCCGTGGTGAATGGCGGCAACGTCGGCGAAAATAGAGACGCCAGTCATTGATTTCATGGGAAGTTTTAGTGTTCAACCTTTTGGTGCAGAGGTTTCGTTTTTTGCATTCAGAGAGCGTCGCGACGGTTCATGGGACTTGGGGTTGTCAACACATCGTCGCTTTAGATCCGTCCCACATAGACCGGTTTCGTATCTGTCAGTCAGTACCCACTTAACATCAAGCACATCAATGCTTACAGGAAAAGAGCCGCGTCCAGCACCCCGCATGTTTTTTGGGTTTTCGCCGTGGCTTCTTAAAGCACCATCGCAAAATGAAGAGGGTCAAAACATGGTAAGATGCCACTGGAAGCTCCGACAAGCCCTGAACCCTCTCTCGACCCCGGCAGCCAGCAACAAGGACGTTCGGGAGACACAGCTCATCTTCAAGGATCTAGGGTTACGGGCGTTTTGTTGTTTATTTTGAGGGGGGGTGCCCTAACAGGGTGGCGCAGAAGATTGCTGAGGGCTTGCGACAGGATGTGGCACTGACGTACGCTTCGTGCTTTTCGAATGTCCAACTACCGTTCAAACCTTTACTCTGAGCTACTGTTGAATTGAGAACCCTCAACCCTAAAGCTTGCTTGCCCTAGTTTGCTCGCAGCGTTCGCTTCGACATCGGTTCCTGAACTCGAAACGCTGTGTCGCAGCACTTCGGAATAATCATCGCTCCTTAAACCGCCATCCGAAAAGCTTCCCAGCCCTGGATTCCTTAATAAGGACCCCTAGGTATATACCCTGAATATAGCCATTATATACCCATGATATAGCCCATTATAGGCTTTTTCACTCCTCCAGAAACATGTATGCTGCCCTGCCAGGCTCCTCATCCCATGAATCTCGTGGCACCGCATCTTCTCGTGGAGGTAACTTGCTTCTTAGGTACGGCCCCCAAACAGTAAGAGTCTATAACAGGGCTATTATCAAGGTCCTACTATATCTATATTATGAATATTATTCAACTGTTACTGAGTGGGGGCCGTACCCAACTTGCTTCAAAGTAAACTCGAGACAGGTTCTGTCATGGGGTTGGCTTAATGAGGTTTTGGGAGCTCAGGTCAGAAGTATCCTTGTGAAGTTTGCGCCCTGCCAGATTATCATCTCGTCCATACACGGCCTATCCCAGGTTCGGTCTGCAGGCTTCATCGAGATCTGTGCGGACCTGGACGAGGAAGTGTGGGAGCGTCGAAGTCTGGATTGTTTTTACCTTAGGGCCGTGCTTTGATGACAACGATTGTGGCTACATGCAAATGCCATAGACAATAAGAAGGAGAATGATGTCAAACAGAACAATCATCGCCCGATTTAATATTTGTTACTGACTGTGGCACACCGCAAAACCCCGTTTTGCTTATCAAGGCCCTTATCTTACTCGACAAGTACAAGTATCAATAGTGTACAGTCACACCAGGACACCTGGGTGCCAGTTTCTGTTCCATGAATGGGTTTCCACTGTTTCATGATTCTTGGGCATGGTGCATGTTTCTTTTCTGCTTGTGCAGCTCGTAACTTCGCCACAGTCAATGTTAAGAGCAAGCCTAGACGAGGACGCCCGTATTTGTACTCTTGTTTTGATACATTTGTACCAGCTAGAGCCTCATAGTTTCTCGATCGGATGACGAACTGCGGATACCTCTTGGTTGCCACGGCAAAACCTCGCCAGTCCTTCGCCATTGCCAATGCCGCGGTGTCAGGAGAACAACGCCATTCTGGGCAGCCTCGATAGATACTTTGGAGATCGCTTCAAGGCATCACTCATAGAAGGCAGGCCCACCGCTCGGGGAATCGAGAGAACTTCTCCTGAAGGATCTGCCCGTCCTACCGTGTGACTGAAGAGGTAGATACGGACTTGAAAGAGTCTCATTCTGCTGGAGGCCATGAGGATTTTTGTGACCGCTACTACGAGGCCAGCTGCTTGTACCATGGGAGGTTGAGTACTTGGTAGAATAGTTACTATAGTATAATATATGCCGAATCCCTTTTCTAATCACTAAGAAGACCGTTTATAAATTACAGACCTGCAGCCACTCCTGGAGCAGAAACCTGCTTCAACTTTCTAGTTGTTGTGGTCGTAGTCGCGGGTTTATACATGCGCTTGTTTGAGTGGCGGTGGATTTCAATGCAAAGGCAGGATCGCAAGCCAACAGGTCTTCAGTCATGCAGCCGCGTACACCGTGGACTCGAAGCCCAGAATCCTACCCTAGCACCCGCGCAGAACTAGTTACTAGCACCAGCTTCCCATATAATTGTAACAACGGGCATGAGCCTGTCGACTCTGACAGCAAGTTTCTGTCGTGGTGAGGGCTTGGGCTTCTTGGGAGTGCGCATCAAGGCTTGAGATACCATAGCTTACGGTTTAGGGTTCGGAGTGTTCGTAAGTCGTCACACTTAGAGTACCAGGCGTTGCCCATCTTTCGAAGCTCGATGCCCACAATTTCTGCGAAACCTAGAGCCAAGAATGCAAAGCAAAACAACTTGAGAAAAATGCACTCAACTGAAGATCATATTCAAAAAAATCCGAAACCGGGTTACAGGAGGCATGCTTAAACTTTGTGACGAACTAACTCTTCCCCTAAAAAGAGCCCCATCCCTTCCCCCCGTCCATAGAGATCGCGTGTCCAATGCCTCATCTCGGATACAAGACCAAGGCAGTAGCAAGCAACCCGTGAAACCGTAATATGGGACCCTCAATGATTCGACCAGGGTTTGGGGGTATTTTATACTATAGTACCATAGTTATAATAAGGAACCCCGAAAACAAACTCTCAAGCACAAAGGCCGGCGAGGGCATCTTCAAGGGGAGCGGTGGCAGCCTCGACAGCAACTTCGGCCTCCTGTTGCTGGGCTGAACGCTTCCGGGGTCTAATATAGGGGCCTCAATAATTAGAATAGTGTTTTGGGGCCTATTGCACTATAACCATATCAAGGGGCCCCCACAACTGCATAGGGAATTATTAAGGGCCGCGCAATTAGAGTTTGTAGGATTTTATATAGACGTGGACGGGCGCTGGCTGACATTTAGAGCCCTGCTGCAACAAGGGTCTTAGAATTCTTTTGCTTTCGGGAGGGTTTACAGGGTCTAAAATAGAGTTGGAACGTGCTTATCCTCATGCCCGCGAGGCAATGTAAAGGGATTCCCAGCACTGGATTCCCAGCACGAATCTTACCTACCCCTTGTTCCAACTTCCTGTAGTTCACTATGGCTTCAGTGTCTTGTCGAGGGACGTACTCAAAAAAGCAATCCACCCTGAGTCTCCGGATGTTTTTCGGACGTACCAAGGAAGACTGCTTTACTTGGGCTGTCGTTGCACGAAGCCTCGCCTAGTTTGCCCGAGGTTGAGAGTGCCATATACACATCCCATACCAGAAGCCCCAAAAAGTGTTTCGTGTTTGCGGATTAGGACCTTTAGCTTTAGAGTAGGTTTCGTGCTTCTGAGCTCTGGGGTGTCAGGCTTTTTGGGGCTCATGGTCTCAGTTTGAGAGAGCTGGCTCTGGTTTTGGGATGCCAAGGCTTTGGGGGTAGACAGACTTGATGGTGGTTTTGTCAACGTCTTAAGACTCTGAAGGTTTAGCCGTACATGCTGCAATCGGGCTCTAGTTGAAGTTTGAAGGTCTTTGTACATGTGGTATGTGTGTTGTAAGGATCGAAGTGATCTCCAGGTATTTCATAAGAGAGCAACTCCGTGTTATTCGGTTGTCACTTTCTATCCCGAGGAGCCGCTTGGACCTGCCGTGTGAGAGCAGCTAGTCGTGCCCAGGTGCACAGATGTCTGCGATGTCATCACAACGCATGAGGCCTGGGCTAAACTCTTCCAAAATGACGCAAACCTTTAAGTCCTAAGCCCTGCAAGCCGGAAGCAAAGGTTCTCATGGAATCTAAACCCGAAATCCCAAACCTGAACCCTAATTTAAAACCCTGTACTAATACCCTTATAGCAACCCTTATAGACTCATTAAGGATCCCTTTAAAGGAACCCCTGAGCTTCCAGGGTTGGAGCCTTGTCGCCTGCAACACCGGCAACTACGGCGCCGATGGCAAATTCTCAGAGCAGCCCGGGCCCTCAGCGCGCTGGGATTTCTAGGAGTTCTAGCCCTAAGGCTCTAAGGACGCATAGTTTGAGGCTTTTGGGCCTTTAGGGCACAGAGGCCTGGATGCAAAAGTGCTGAAGAGTCTAGGGTAGGAGCCTGATTAAGAAACCAGGTCCTATAACTGTAGGAGTTCTAGATTCTAGCCCTAAGGCTCTGAGGACGCATAGTTTAAGGCTTTTGGGCCCAAAGACCATACTACATAAGTCTTTTGGGCTCTTTTGAGCCTTAGGGTAGTGCTTAAGAGTCTAGGGCAGGAGCCTGATTAAGAATTCAGGTCCTATAACCCCAGAATCTGGTATCCATATACAGAACCCTAGTAAAGACCCATGGCTTCTTAATCAGGTTCCTACATTACACCCCTAAACCCCTAAACCCTGAGAGTACCCTTGTAGATCCCTTTAAAGAACCCTTACGGTTGTTCCTATAGTAGCTCTTATAGTAACCCTTATAGTAGCCCTTATAGTCCTGTTTGGCTTGGTAGGTTTTTAAGTACAGGATTTTGTTGGGTGCGGTTTTGCCGCCCAAGGGTTTGGCGGGGTTTCGGCAGGTTGGCCAGTGTCCGACAACAAATAGCCGTTTAGGGTTAAGGGTTTAGGGTGACTGCGGAAGGCTCTGCCCTACAGCTTCGCTGCCGGCATACACTCCAAGTCCGTGCTCCAGGGTTTAGGGTTTACCTAGAACCCCCAAAGTAGGTAAAATAATGGCCCAAAACCTATAAAAGGCTATTATTCTACATACTTTTCATGTCTTGAGCCTTTCGGAGGGATAATGGTCGGCTGCTCAGCCGGAACAGCACCAGGCAGATGATCTTCCGGCGTGATTATCACCCGCTCGGCGATTCGAAGCTAGGCTCTGCCAGCCTGACGGGGTGGGTTTTAGGTCATGGGGTCTGCTTCAAGGATCATGGGACTTAGTAAGTAGGGTTATAAGTAGGTTATAATTAGGATAACCCCACTTAGGGGACTTATAACCCCAGTTATAACCTACTTACTAAGCCCCATGATCCTCTAAGTGGGGTGTTTTGTGGTTTATAGGGCTTCGTCTATCAGGATGAGACATGCTGGCTGGTTCATCGGATGTTTTCCGGAGGCAAAAACGTTTGCTGGAGCGTCCTCGAAGATGGTTCTCACGTTCAACTTTCGCATGTGTGTGAAGCCACATCCAGCTGCTGCTTGGTGCAAGGTATCATGCGATGTCCCTGGACGAAGCTTCTCAACAGGTGATGCGAAACGCCATCTTTAAGAATCGCAACCAACGCAAACCCAGCAAACCCTAACCACAGAAGTCCGAGTTGGGAGCGTAGAAGCCCCAAAAGCCCTGAAGGCTCAAAGCCCGAAAGATCAATACATTTCCGGCTACTGATTTCTGTAAACCCATGCCGAAAAGCCGGCTGCCACTATACCTTACCCTGCAACTTGCTAAGTAATAACCCCCAACCGCACAAGAACCGTCGAAGCCCCTCAGGAAGTACCTCCAAGTCATCCTGAATGCGCTGGGGAACATCGAAGTCAACGGCCAGCATGTCGCAAGTCTGGATTAGGGCCTCATTTTAGGTTTTATGGGGCTTCCAAAGAAAGAGGAAACCAAACTCCGATAACCTGCTCCTTTGGATTCGACTTCCGCCTACCATTTTGTAGGGTTTGGGGCTACAGCTTCAGGGTCAGGAAGGGGAAATGTAGGGAAGGTTAGGCACACTTCTTTTAGGGTTCCTCAGTATAATCAGATAAAGCTACACCACAGTGATCTACACTATACCTCAAACCCTAGTCTCAAATTAAAGGCCCCTTTCTCCCCGAACCCTTCCGTATAGTAAGCATTTTAGAACCTCTTGAAAGACCCCGTAACCCTGCAGTATCCTGACCCAGGTGCGGGAGATCCACTCAAAGCTCGACGGCTTCTTCCGAGGGAAGTGGAAATGCGACCCCTGACGACGGGGCTTGTGATCTAGATTTTCTGTTTACGGTTTCGGGGCTAGTGGTTTAGGTTACGCTAGGTTTCAGTTTATGCGATTAGTGGTGTTCTCGCCGAGCATGTTATGGGTGCAAGTGCTTTCAGCTCCTTTGATTTCAGAAGCTGTTCAAGCTGTCCGAAACGCTGCAGCTCCTAGACCCACCTTCAATAGCAGCTGTCGCTTTGGCAATGCATGGTGCGAGACGTCAGTATTTGTCGACTTTCGTGCCGGAGCATTCGCCGCCGCACGCTGCATATGAACTACTTTGCCGCCGGCATGTCTAAGCTCCTGTAGCTTTGAGTCCGCGCGCTCCGAGCAGCGGAGGCCCTAAAGTCCTACACTCCAAGCATCTCCAAGCCCAGCGCTTCATCCAAGCTTTTTGCCAAGCTTTCCGGCCTAGGAAAGGGCGGGACACTTCCGGGAAGGCGACACCCTCTGCCGCAGGTGCCACTGACGAAGCGGATTTACTTTTAGCAGCCAGTGTTTTGCTTCGGTTTGCTTCAGAGTCTCAGGGGTCTGGGTTTAGTGTCTTGCTGTAGAGCCATAGGGTTTCGGAGAATTTAGATGGCTTGAGGTTCAGGGCGTCAAGCCCGTGGCATTTGTTTGTTGCTGGGGTCTAACCATGAACCGGACAGCAGCAGCAACCGGTACTATAGGGGCCTAAATCGCTACAAATACTGTTTTGAGGGGTTCCTTATTGAATTATAATCATAGAAAAATAATACCCCAAAACCCTATTCTATGAATTAAGGCCCCGATGGTAGGCTTTAGCCAGACCTCACACATAACGCCGAGACTCGTCGGTCGCTGCTTCGGTCCTGGGCTCGTCGACGGATGTCGTGTTTCGAGTTTTAGGTTCTTTGGGGGTTTAGGGTTTAGGCGGACCGGGCTGCTGGACAACGGGGCCTGCTGCAAAAAAGGGTTCTGGTTTTCTGGTTAAAAGAGTTTGGGGCATAGAGCATGGAGAACCCGAGTTCAGAATTTATCCAAAAAGCCCTAACCTAAACCCTAGACCCTACAATACCTCGTAGATGAAAGAGGCCCTTGTTCCTAAGCCCAGCCCTAAACTGCCTAAGCCCTGCATACTTAGTTCGCAGATGCAAGGGGGGCTTTCCGTCTGAGTGGACCCTTCGACGGGGGAGACCGCGTGGCCTTCTTCCGGTTGGACACGTACACCTGGAATGTTCCAGAGATGCGCTTCTTATTCGATGAGAAACAGACTCCCTAGACCCCTACAGCCCAAAGAGTTTGTTCGAGAAAAGAGTACCCTCACCCGTCCCTTGCACAGGTACACGTGGGATGTCTCGGAGTTAAATATGCTTCGTGCCACTGCCGATGTGGTTACTTTCTTCGAGCTCCAGGGCTGGGCCACTCTGCATCCAAAGTTGTTGTTTGAGGCTTGGGTTTAGGGTTGATAAGGTTTCAGGGTTTACGTTCAGGGTTTGGTTCCTTGGGGGAGCTAGCAAGGATCATTTCCCAGTTCATGTCATACGCCCTCGCCTATACCCCCGACCCAAGTTTCACGTACACTTTTTCCATGCCTCATACCCCAACTTGCGCATAAGCCTTTACCATACCTCATACCCCAAGTTTCTCCCAAACTTTTACCATCACCCTGAATCATAACTAATACCCAAGTCCTTACATTAACCCAATATTACAGAACCCTAAACCATAACAACCACCTAAGCCCACAACCTTGTCCGTTCAACCAGCAATATCCGACTGAACTAGGAAATGAGAAAGTCCCCCAACTTTCCCGCAATCTAAACTAAAGCAACCACCTGAAACACCAAGATCCAAAAGCCAAAGCAACCACCCAAAACATCCTAAACACCCAAACCAAAGCAACCACCTGAACCCTATCCTCACCCAAAACACCCGACTGAATCACGAGCTCGAAAACCCACACAACCCCCTCCTAGATTATTTCTTTTGTATTTTAATTCTGAACTGGACCAGCGCCCTAACACAACCATGCCGATTACCACCCACCCCATAAACCATCACAATGCCCTTACAGTGTTCCACTATCGAGTCAGAATGCCAACAATGCCTTTCCGTCTGTTGCATCGTCCAGTCATAGCTTCCTGTAGCAGTACCCGCATCCTCCCAGCTCTCCCAACTCTTCGGAAGCCAGGCCAAGCTTAGAGGAACGGCTCCATAACAAACCCACCCAGTCAGCACATGCAAAAGAATACAGAACAAGCAGGAATTGATAGCTAACCTGTCGTGAAAATCGAATGCAAATATCGCATTCAGTGATCGGCTGTGTACCCACCCCTATGTTGCACCGCCGATTCCGATGGCTTGCACAGATGTTAGCAGATGTTGCAGGAACATGCTGACGCACTGGTGATGCAGCGTTCACTTCTCAAGGCGGAGTAGGCTCTTCGGCTCGTCCTGTGTGTCTCCATGGCTGCTAGAAACCGATACCGATGCCGAGTTCTTTTCTTGATGTGTGTGGCAGTCATCATCGTCCAGCTCAGGGACACGTTCACCTACCCTTCGCCATCGCGAGAAATAGACCCTGCTAAACGAAGTGACGCTCAAACCAAAGTCACGAAGTGGGCGAACGGGCAGATCACGGACGACGATTTCAAGATGTCGTTGGATGAAGAACAAGCTATCGACGTGATGGACAATGATAGATCTTACCAGATCGATACAAATGTCAAGGTGCACTTCTATGACTTGTTTTTCTTTCGCTCCGATGCCCGCTTTCCACCTGACTCATATGGCCCTTAGCTCCAAAGGGACAATACCTCTCTGGCAAGTAGAACTGCCAGGGACAGGACTCGTACCAGCAGCCTACAACAGATTTGCTAACATGGAGCTGCGGGTGGGGCTTGGGGAATTTGGTTGAGGGTTGTACAGTCTTGCCCTGAACACCCGAAAAGCCCGAATCCTCGCCTGCTTGCCGAGTGCGAGTGACAAAAAACGCCTCCGTAAATGCCTTGCTAATATCTTTATCTGCAACATTATTTTCTACTTCGGGTTTCTGGATTATGCCCGATGGCACTATAGTTCTACATTCATTCAGTATATCTATATCGATACCGGTATAATATGACTTATGCTTTTCGTTAAAGATACTGTTATTCGTATTAAACATTGCTTCCGTGGTTTTCCTATACGCTTCCTCCGATGACACCGCGACATCCTCATCAATGCTACTCTTGGCTAAATTCTGCGATTGTATGGTATAAGGTATCATCTTATTTAGTTTCTTAATCTTCGCGTTAGCCTAGCGAGGCTTCTGCCGAAGCGTCCACCTAATTTTGAGTTCTGATATAGTCCCTGCCTGATTTAACAAAAGGTTCATAACCGCTTTGCTTGAAGTCGTGTAGCAGTTTTGGCAGGTCATTATCTCTATGTATCGGTATATAATCATCTTTATCTCTTAGTTTTATTAGGTCGTGTATAGCATCTATCATTTTGCCCTCTTTGGGTTCTTCCCTTCTATTCATGCAATAATTATCTGACACCCCCACCGAGAATGCGAGGCGTGTAAAACTTTAAAAGGGCTTATGGAGAATGTTTATGATTGTAGAAAGAAACAGTTTGAAGATGTAGTTGAAGCGGTGAAGATAAACACAATATAGACGAATATGAACCAACCAAATTAAACACTCAAATATCTATCTATGTTAAACTAAACCCATTTCCTACATACGAGAAGACATTACGAGTGTTGAATCATAAATTGGATGACGAAGACAAATTTTACAACAATGAACTCTACAATGAGATTAAAATATTATACGATACTTCCTTCAAGTTTGATGACAAAATAAGAAAATCTTACAGCCCATAACGAAACATAATATTTTGTCAATATGACAAAAATGTAGATAAGAAGAATAGTACAAAGATTGTATTTGTTAATCATCTTGAAAGACAAATGAATAAAGTTGAAACAATAATTTCTGGATTATGAGTTACATATACATCAATGAAGCTTTTAGCAAATGAAAATATAGTTGTATTTAATTGAAACCAATATATGGATTAATAAACGAATAGCAGAAGCACATTTTGAAGATTATTATGAAGATTTTTATTCATTTGAAAGATTTATGGATGCCAGATATCACTATTTATTTACAGTAGAATATAAACGAACACCAATAAGAAATGACACAGACCATCTCAGAAATATTGATGGCTTCTTAACAAAGTTTAATAACCAAGAAATTGGTTAATAGATTGTTCTATGTAGAGTCATCCCCCAGTTCAAGGTCATTGTTTTTGGGGATTTTCTATCAGGGGGTCATTTCCCAGTTTAGGTTGAAGATATGGATAAGGTTATGGGTTTAGATAGTTGCTATGGTATTGGTTTATGCATTGGATAAGGTTAAGGATTATTTAGGTTGCTATGGTTAGGGTTATGATGTAAGTGTTGGGTAAAAGTTTTGGGTTGAAGTTGGGGTGAGGGCGGTAGGCGAGGGCGTATGTCATGAACTGGGAAATGACCCTGGCTAGCTTAGGGACCCCTTGTGCCCCAAGGCCCGACGCCGTGAGAGTTAGGGTTGAGGGTTTTTTTGGATGATGACTGGTGGTTTTAGTGCCGCTTCCTGGGAGATCCATCCCCGAAATAGCGAAACATTTGATATGCCATAGTCTCGAAGCTCGAATTTTTTTCGCAACCGTTTCGGCTGAATCTTGGCAGAAGCGCAGCCTTGAGTGAGCCTTTCAGCGCCATCGCACGCACCGAGCGCCATGAGCCAGTTAAGAACAGCCGTCGGAGTTGTGGCGGCTGCTTGCCTGGCCAGCATCGCCTGCGAGGCTCACACGGTGTGGGGTGCGGGGTGTTGCGGGGGTTTCGTGCTTCTGGTGAAACTAAGGGTCTTAGGGAGGATCCGCGTCTGGTTCAAGCAGGTGGACAGCGTCACGCGGCAGCTAGTGCTTTCAGTGCCCCAATTGGTGCCGGTTGTCAAAAAATCTGTTGACTTTCATGATAAGACAAGACGTTTGCAAGGACCCTAAATCCTCAGCCTTTCCTAAAAGGGCCCTACATCCCCAACCTTTTCGCCAGGCCTTCGTGGCGCCGTCGGCTCGCCCTGCGCCCCTCGCAGCCCCGCAGACCGCTGCGGCCGCGGCGCCTCCGACAGAGGCAGCTGGCCCCTTATGCCGCAACGAAAAGGCTTTCATAAACGATATGTATATATATATATATATATGTATTTTTTATCTGTGTGCATGTGCATGTGCATGTGCATGTGCATGTGCATGTGCATGTGTATGTGTATGTGCATGTGCATGTGCATGTGCATGCGCGTGCGTGTGCGTGTGTGTGTGTGTGTGTGCGTATGCGTATGCGTATGTGTATGTGTATGTGTATGTGTCTCTGTGTGTTTATGTGTATGTGTATGTGTATACACATATTTATGTGCTATGCTTATATATACAAAGTTAACTGAGTGTATATATATATATATATATATATATATATATCTGTATATATATAGATATATATGTCTTATTCATGTATAGTTGGAGTACGGTTTTGGGTATATTAGTCTATACAGTAATTGATACGAATTTGTAATTATTCAGGCTTCTATATCAGGGTTTGGGGTTCAAGGTTCCCTCTCACTCCTGCGTTTGCATCCCTCGTCAAACGAGAAGGCCCTGCTGTTGAGGAGTGTTCGCTGGCACGCAATCCAAGCCCATGCTGAGAAAGGTTTGGGAACCATGAGCCTAAAGCTCGAAACTGTAGAACTGATTGTTTTCAACTAATGAGTCAGGGGTTCGTTTAGAGTTCAGGGTGGGCCGATCATTGGGCATTCTTGCGCAGAAAGCCGAAGGCCTCATCAGAACGGCAATTGATGTAACCCTGAAACCCCTAAAGCCCTAAACTTAAGCCCCCTGCTGACCATGAAGTGGCTTTCGGCTGCCTGAGTCCCGGCAGCCAAGGCTGGGGATTGGCGGCGGCTGGCCTGGCGGTGGCTTGGCAGCCTAAACTCTCAACTCTAGCATGAAAAAGAAGTTTAGGAGGGTTCCGGTGGCTTCCAAAACAACCTCGCCTGTGGGCATAGATCCCTAGCCATGCGAGAGGGAAAAAGATGGCAAAAGGAGCCGGGCCAGTGCGGAAGGCACCTTGGGTTCAATAATCACCAAAGTCATTCCTCAGGGGGTTCCTGATTATGATTATACTATAATGTACACCAAAACCCTATTCTAATCAGTAATTAAAGGCCGATATATTGTCCGTTCCCTCAACTAAGCGCAGCCTGGCGATTCAGGGTTCAGTGTTCAGGGTTTGGACCGAATCCCGGCATCCGAAGTCCAACGGCAATCCGAAATCTGCGAGTTCCAAAAGCTTTTCTAGTCCAAACTCCGTAGGTACGACTCGCAACACAGCAGAAGCAGGGAAGCTACAAAAGGGCTTCAAGAGACAGGCATGCATTCCTGTGATAGACCTTAAGCTTGGCATTCAAGAGACAGATTTTCGATGCCACCTGACACACATGTATATATATATATATAACTATATATCTGTATACACGTGGTTTCACTTGTGGGTCATTTCGATAAGTTGGTTCCCTTCTAGGTTCTTATCGCTAGAGTGTGGACTCGTTTTGGGGACCACGGGCACGAAAGAACCCAGCTCAATTGACGGCTGAGCTTTGTGCAAATGCATGCATCACTGCGTGGACGCATAGACCTCAGGCCAAAGTAGTAGCCCACAACAGTCAGCATGAAAAGCCAGAGACCTGCTGAATGCAAAAATTCCCAAACCGCAAGGCCTAAACCGCCAAGTCTTGCAAATTCTATTTGAAGGGCTTCCGAAAAGAAAACTTCACAGTCTGAAAGCAAGTCGGAACATTGGCATCCCCTTCGAGCCAAGAACATGGGAAAATGAAGCCTACTACCTCCCCCTTCTATGCCTGCAAGTCTGTTTGCATACTACGGCAGCAACCCTAATCCCTAAACCCTCGAGGTCGGGGCCCATGCTGGGCTGGCCGTGGCTTTCCGCGCCCGTGCCGCACGCCGCGCCGAGACAAAGCCAGCAGAGAAGACTCTCCGAGGATGTTTAGAGTTTAGAGGGTTTCAGGATTCTATACGGTTTCCTTAGGGTTTTCGGAGGTTTCCTATGGTTTTGGGATTTCTATAAGGTTTCCTGGGGTTTTAGGATTTCTATAAGGTTTCTGATTAAGCGTGAAGGGTTCTGTAAGAATTCTGCAGGGTTTGGGGAGGCTTTAGGGGTGTAAGGACCCTGAACTTAAACCCGATGCAGGACATCCTAAACCCTTAAAGACCCTTTAACCCCTTTACCCAACCAGCAACCCCCAAAGCACCCTTTAAAGGGCTAATCTTTTTCATTAAGAGGTAATTCGGGACTACAATAAAGGGTAGTTGGGGGGTCTAGGAAGAAGCCGAAACAAAGAGCCTCTAAGCCCAGGAGCAAGTATGTGGAGACGGTCGCCGACCAGCGGCTTTTTGAGCAGGTTTACTTGCAGTACACCTCGGAATACCTGAAGGGCCCTCTCTACTGGTCTCCCGACAAAAGCCGACCAAATACGGGGAGGTAGAGTTTAGGGTTCGAGCCTTGGGGGTTTAGGACCGGGTTTGGGTTGTTTTAGGCTTTCGGGGCGCAGGGTTTGAGGTTTACTTTTGGTTTCTGTTTCAGCTTCATGATGACCAAACGACTGCTATAGCGAGGTAAGGATCAGCAAGTGACCGTATTGATGCCAATCAGGAAAGCTTCAAGAAATCCATATCACCAACAGGGCACCCGGACCAACCCGACACCCAAAGCTCTATACCCCATATCCATATCCCTCTGGAGTCCAGTCCCTACTGTATATGCTTCAGTGCCCAAACGCTGACAAGTGGGAGCCAAAAACGGCCATGCCTGAAACCTACTCAAACAGATAAGCCCCGTAAAGAAGAAGGGCCATGGACCCGCTTCTTACACCACCTATATGCTCGCCCCGAATTCAAAAACAGCATCCGGACAAAACTCTAAATCCTTACATCCTAAACTACAACCGAAACCCTCAACATTATTAACACGACCCAATAAAAGCCTATAGACGCTATCACCTTTGAAACCCTGAAACAAGGCATCCGACGAAACCCTAAACCCTGTAAAGCCCTAAACCCTTGAACTCTAGTAACCCTTACAGGACCATCTTAAGTGACCCCTTAACCACAAGTAGAGACCCGTACAGGACCCCCTTCAAGGAGAACCCCATAACACTAAGAAGAAGGCATCCATCCCCATAAAGAAGCCTATAACCCTAAGATGAAGGCATCCTAAACTCTAGTAACTCTAGTAAGCCTTTTATAGGACACCCGTTTAAAGGACCCTATTAAACAACCCTAAGAAGAAGGCATCCTAAACTCTAGTAGCCCTTTTAGAGGACCCCGTTTTGAGGGACCCTATACAACCCAAAGAAGCTCCAGTAGCCCTTATAGGACACCCTTTAAGTTAAAGGATCCCATAACCCTAACTGACCCTTATCAGACCCCTTAAAGCAAAGGGGAAAAGGAGGGACCCTTAATGGGGACCCCTACCCTATAATGGGCTATATAATGTGTATATAATGGCTGTATTAAGGGTATATACCTAGGGGTCCTTATTAAGGGTCCCTCCTTTTCCCCTTTGATTAAAGGACCCCATTTTTCCTTAAGAAGAAGGCATCCGGACAAGCTCCAGGGATGGCTCCCCGACTACCCGGGGACGCCCATGATCAAGGAGGGCAAGTACACGAGCCACGTGATCGGAAACCTCAAGGCGGGAGTTCCCCAAAGCCATGATATATCTTTCTTAAAAGGATCCCCTTGAAGGATCCTTAAAGGAGCCCTAGAATTAGGCTTCGGAAAGTAGGCTTTTGATATACTCTAAGGGTTCGTTGAAAGGGGGCTTCTATTGAGTTCTTGACTGGTTCCTCGAACCTGTAGGGCTTATAGAGGTTTAAGGTAAGGATCCTTTTTAAAGGGTGTAAGGTTTAGGATCCTTGAAGGATGAACAGGATCCTTGCAAGGGTTCAGGGTTTAGGATCCATCAAGGGGCCATGGTTCCTAAAACTCTACTGTAGGGCTAGCGATTCTTGAGTTGTGTAGGGTTTAGGATCCTTGAAGGGTTCTCTTAAACGGCCTTCTGTGAGGTTTGTAGGTCGAAAACTTGAGCGTTAGTGGAGGCCTTGGGATCCTTCAAGGGTATTGGGTTTCGGATTTTTTAAGGGGTCCTGTAAGAGGGCATAGTTCCTATCATTTGAGGGTTTGTACAGGTTTAGGGGTCAGAGTGGACTTCTCAAAATGTAGGGTTGGCGAACTTTTCAAGGTTCATTATACAGGGCTCCTGCTACCTATGAGGGTTCCAAAAGGGTTGAGGTTGATCGGAAGCCTACAGGTGGAGGCTTTAGCTTCGTAGTGCTTGGAAGGTGGAGCCGTCTTACCTGGACGCCAAAAGTATTTTGTGTTATAGCCTTTTTTAGGTTTTGGGCCATTATTTTACCTAATTTGGGGGGTCTAGGTAGAGGTGTTCGGATGGAGTCTTCAAGGTGTTGTTGGGTTCTCTAGTTATTACACTGTTGCTTTGAGGGCCTTGGTGTATAATGGAGCAGATCGGAGACCTCCGAGCTGAGTTCGAGGTAAAGGTCAAGGAGTTTGTCGACTGTCACAGTGTTCGCCATTTTTTAACCTAAAGCCTTGCATAGGCACATGCTACAGAACCTCACATGTGGAAACCCTTAGCTGCTAAGCACTATAGATGGGAAAGCTAGGTTTAGGACGAAAGGGTGTCCGTGCTCGGGAGTTTGCATTTTGTTCCGGGGTTTATGGGTTCGCCCCTCATGTAGAAATGCCTACGTTTCAAGCTTATTGGGCTGTGCTCGCCATCAATAAGGGAGGTTTGTAGGGGCCCTTTAGAAAGTCGTCCGCTCGAGCTTGCAGCTTCTAGTGTGAGTCAACCCTGTATGAGGCGTTCAGCTCGAACGAGCTTGCCTTCTTGTCCATGCTCTTCTTTGGCGTCGGCCTCTATGGCAACCTGCAGTTCAACTTCTATGACCCGCAGTGGGCTAAGGTGGATGCTGGCGGCTTCTTCAACGTGTCCTACATCGTGGAGTCCTTCTTGCTCCCCATCTCGTTCTTCATGCACATTGCTTGTTACATTCAGAGGCAGAACGGGAAGTGAGGGCATCGGCATCGCCTGGCAGTGTTCTGAAGTTCTGTCAAATCTGAGAGGGCCGTCAGACGTTTGGGCCCCTAGCAGTTCCTGACGCACGTAAGACGTGCTGCCTGCGTGGAGAGTACTGATCATATCAGCTCTCACACCATACTGGGAATCGCCAGGAGTCAAAATCCATGTACGAACAACTTCGCCAGCAACTCGTGCTCTCCGTGGAGATTCACTCGATTTGTTGGGGTTCATGTCATGGCGACAGCCTTCGGAGCAATCAGTTTCATGTTACAGGAGGAGTGACCTACTAGATCAATAACTGGCCGTTTAGGGTGCCTTGGCTGCCATAGGTCAAGCTGATACAGACTCAGCAGAAGCTCAATTCCCAGCCAAAGCCTGAATCCTACTGATCCCTAAGGGTCCATGTACTCATATAGCATATACATTGGCCTTAAAGTACTCCCTATGTAGGTACATTGGGCCCAAAGTATATGCTATATGGGTACATGGACCCTTAGGGGTCCCACGTCGGCTGTCGATCTTAACCCTTTAGCCTATGCAACCCTGGTCCCCTACAAACCTTAAACCCAGAATGCCCGTCCCTCTACAGAAACGCAGTGTTCACCCCACACCTCGCCTGCTATGCCGAGTGCGAGTGCTAAAAAACCCGGAATGCTTAGCCCTCGACCCAAACCCCAAGGCCTACCTCTCAGACCTCCAACTTGAGCCTACTCTTAACCTGAAGCCCCGTCTGTCAATTGTTACCTACAGGGTTTAACCCTAAACCGAAAGCATCTTCAACACAAGGAGATTCAGGTGGCCTCGCAGCAGCAAGTCCTGGAGGAGCTTCCCGTCCGTCCGTCCATCCGTCCATCCATGCATCCATCCTTCATGCCTTCATTCCGTCATTCCGTCGTTGCGTCACTCGGTCATTGAGTCAGACCATCATCATCATCATCATCATCATCATCATCATCGCCCTTATCTTTCAACTAATTCCACTTTCCGTTACGCTGCCTCCCTTTCCGCCCTGCCAGCAACCGCCCTAAATCTCCCATGATCTCCTATGCCTTGCTTTCAGGATCTATGTGCATGAGGGTCTTCTGCTTTCTGAAACTCCGACATAATGTCGACTGTCCAGCACTACGACTTTCGATTCACTTTAGGACTGCAAGGAGCAAATAAGGGCAATACTTGTGATCCGAGCAGTCTTTTCCTATCTAAGCCAACTCCTCTCAGAGCTTGAGCTCGGCAAGATGTATCCAAGAAGCAGGAGCACGGAGTGTCGGCGGCTTGGTGTACTTCGACTTTGCAAAGAGCATAACGGTTTTAGGGTAGGAGAACCTAGAGCCAGCTCAGAAAAGCCAAAGAAGCAGCCGCAACGCGTGCAGTAGTGACAACAGCGACAGGCTGTCACAGGCATGGCCGGCTTGGGTTTGGGATTTAGGGATGTCGCCATTGACTCGAAACTGCCCTACATTGCCCTATATCCCGGCTTCGCGGTGAGATCCGAAGGATGGTTCCTGGTGTAGAGAGCAACAGCTGCTCTTTCGCCCTGGCAAGACCGAGGCCAGTAGCTTTGCTGGGGATTTTGGGATTCACTGGCTTTGAGCTTTCAGGGCTAGTGGCCTGGAGGGCCAACGTAGAATTATAAAAGGTGTGATTCTGACATTTGTGAAGCTTCGATCAAGGCTTACCCGATCCGTGTGGCCCGAGTTGCATGCTGTGCTTGCTCGCGATAGCAGTTGCCACGAGCGCACGGGTCGCTGACGGGCGCGAACGCGATAGCATGCCCAAATTCAGACAGCGCCCTCCCCCGATGCCAGCCAGCCGAATCTAAACTCAAGCCTGACTCTAGGTCTTTCGGTTTCACGGTTCTTGTTGTTTTCTGTGCAGAATGTATTACTACATATTTTATAGATACAGGTTTCTTGTCTATACTCACAGTTGCAAATACATACATATACGTATGAAGCCAATTTCTAAGCACTACAACACCGACATCGCAAGTCCCTGCCGGGTCCCGTCATCAGCAGGTGGGAAGTGTAGAGCCTCACGTCTTCATCGAGCTCTATGCAGGCGACCAGTTGCTGGGTGATTTCAGTTGCCAGGTTGTGTTTGTTCCCTGGGCTCTGGGCTCTGGTGTGTGTAGGGTAAGAAGGGGTGTGTAGATATTGTGATGTAATCAAGTGTTATTCAAAGCAGAATTGCTAATCGGCATCCGGCCCACGAATCCATACAGATTAGTTTGGTTTCCAAGCTCCATCTCCTTGTTCGAACTTATGTGCAACGTTCACTGCCAGCGACTAAACTCCATCCCCTGAAACCCCACAAAACCTCAACCCAAATCAGACCGAAGCCTCAGGTGAGGGAGCACCCGAGCTTTTCGAAGACGAGGAGACCACTCAGGCCATCCGCATAGGGCTACAGTTTGGGTATAGAGTTTCTTGGAAGCTTTTTAGCGGTGTTTTCAGGGTGTAAACCCAGGGCGTATCCAATATTGCTAGTGACTAGTGGCTTGTGGATTTGGATTTGCCTTCCTAATCTCACGAGAGCAAGCTTTCTCTGGTACCTTTTTCCCCACGTCTGCAGAGGTCCTCGCCAATCAGCTTCTTGGCAGTGATCCCTAAACCCTAAACCCTAAAGCTGCTGTTTCCCTAAACGCTAAGCGGCTGCTGTGCATGAAGACGCTGTGAGCCCCAGATCCGTTTACACCCCGAAGCCGAAGCCCCACGTGAAGTACTACAGGGGCCTAGGCCTAATCCTTATGAGAAGTTATGGTAAAAGGTCCCTAAACCCTATTCTACTTATTAAAGCCCCTATAGTATGGTAAGACCCGAAAGCTCAAATGTGCTGCAGCAGTCCTATATGCCTCGCCTGGATTGTCCGAGTGTGAACGCCGAGGCCAGAATCCACTGTACTCAGAAGAGCCTAAACTCTGAGCTTAGAAGGCCCTACTCCCGGAAAGCCAAAGACCCTAAACCCCGAATGCAATAGACCCTATAATCCCGGAGCCCCAAAGACCCTAAACCCAGAAGACCCTAAAGCTTGAACCCTGTAGATCCCTCCTTACCCTACAATGGGCTATATAATGGCTATATGAAGGGTATATACCTAGGGGTCCTGATTAAGGGTCCCTCCTTCTACCCTTGGATGTCAAGGAGCCCTAAGCCCTTCTGCCCTTCTAAGGCGGATTCGTCTTCGGGCCATCGGTCCCGGCTCGGAGAAGATGCTTGGTTTTGGGTTTAGAGTATAGAGTTTAGGGTAGCTGAGTGGATACACTTTACACTTTTTGGGATACTACTACCCACTATAAAGCAGAGAGTGTACGCTTTTTGGGTTGAACTACAATGGAGACTATAGGTATGAATTCAGCGACTAAGGATGCTTCTGAGCCCCCAACTCCGACAGGTGAAGCAGGACTTTGGGGTCTTGGGGGAGCTTCGGGGGGGGGGGGGGGTTGCGGTTTAAGGGTTCAGGATTTTGGGGCTTAGGGTTCCCTTAAAAGAGATCCTTAAAGAGGTCGATAGGGGATCTATAGCAGGGTTCTATATACGGAAGTTCAATAATTAGAATCGGTTTTGGCAGCACAGTCACCCGGGGCTCGAAGCCTGAGCACTGTGCACCTTGCACCTCCACATCCGGTTTAGGGTTTTGGGTTTTGGGGTTTAGGCTTTAGGGTTTAGGGTTTTGGGGTGTAGGGTTTTGGGTTTTAGGGTTTAGGGTTTTAGGGTTTTGGGGTTTACGGGTTTAGGCTGATTGCACAGTTCACTCGGGATGGGAGCGAAAGAAGCGAAAGAAACCAGTGATAACAAGCACGACACACGGCTACACTTCGCAGGGTTAGTACAGGGTTTGGGATTTCAGGTTTCAGGGGCTTCAGAATTGTTACTCTCTCAGTAGTACTGCGTGCAAATCTGTGGCGTGTGCTGCTCCTGTGCTGCTGATTTGCGTGTCTCGATTGGATACAAAAAGGGGTTCAGGGTTTGGTTTAGGATAGAGGAACGAGGTTGTGATTTAGGGATTCAGGAATGGCTAAGGGGTTCTAGCACAAAGTATTCGGTAGGGTTTTGGGTGTTTACCTGGTTTTGTGATTGAAGGCTTTCTATAGTCGTTGTTGGATAATGCTTCTGCTTTGGGTACTGCCCCCACTCAGTTGCAGTTAGATAATATTCATAATATAGATATATAAGGACCTTAGTAGTAGCCCTATTATAGACTGTTACTGTATGGGTGCAGTACCCAACTTATGCAGAGCTTGGGATTGAATCTCAAGGCCGGCTCGCGAACGGGGCGCTGCAATAAGTAACCCAAAAGCATGGGCGCTAACTGGTAAGCGCACAGACAGCCCTTTGGGTTTTCGAAATGTAAATGCGGGCACGTTGACTTCGTAGAATGAGAAGAGTTGACCCGTAACACCGTGGCAGAACTGCGGACAACCAACGGTACTTCTTGATCAACAAACACACCAACCACAAACCTCGGCTGCAGCGCAGAAGCCGGAATGGCTTAAATAGGAGGCAGCGAGATGTTCGTTCCAACGTGATCGGTAGATACGCGAGTTACACACAAGCTGGCCGGGGCTTCTGTGAAGGGGACCGTGTGAAATTGTCCCTCGGCGGCGGTGGACAAGCTTGTGACGATGCAGCCGGTCCCATTTTGCTTGTTGATATTTGCTAGTAAATACCTCCGGAAAGCTTGGTCATGCTCTTTCTTCTTTAAGTTGGCTTGACCCATGCGGTAGTCTGGGCCTTAGAGTGAAGCCCTTCCACCTTTTCAGTGCGAGCTTCCACTCCTGGGAGGAGTTTGCGAGCTTCGTGATCAACTACCTTGGCGGCGAACGCATCGATGGCCCGAACGGAGAAGATACCTTCGCTTGCAACGTGTTTCTTTGCAGGCCTGAAGCTGTCGGCCTGAGCAGTTAGCAGCAGTATTTGCTGGTGTTGCTTGGTCTAATTACACCACAAGATGCACCAATCGCCGATTGTAATGATTGGCCCCTATAGTTATCAGTTTTTTTTCACGCGGCGCACTTCATGGAGAGCCGCTTCGAAAGGCCCACTGAAGATCTTGTCTTGCACCCTACTGACTCTACCGGCCTGCCAGGTCATGAGAGTTGAAGCCAAGAACAAGTAGTTCAGCGCGAGGGGTGACAGCACAAAGTACCCAGCCAGCGGCAAGTCTGCGATCGCACGACTCTCCAATCTCGACAGTCCCCGTACGACCTAGAGCTCAACTTTGATTGTAGGTTCGAGCCCACTTCCTTGTGACAAGGGAGGCAGTATAGCATCTTCCATGACTGCATGCTTGCCACTGACACCCACTTCTCCTTCGTGTTGAACGAAGCAGGGATGAAGCGAAAGTCTACTGGGTTGTTCTTGCGTCTTTGGCCCATCATGAACAGTCCTAATGTTACTAATGTGGTAAGGTTCACAGGCTTTGGAAGGGTCTAGCAGCTTTCTTGAAGCACCGACCAATGGGTCACCCGACCCCGTGACATGGCAGGGAACGCAACTTTAACTTTGTGCTGTCTTGCTAGAAAAAGTGGCGGTGGTGGTTGTGGCGCAGCTGCAGGTGCCGGTGCTGGTGCTGTTACTGCCGGTTGTGGTGGTGCCGGTGCTGGTGCTGTTACTGCCGGTGGTGGTTGTGCTGCTGGTGCTGCTGGAGGTGGTGGTTGTGGGCGTCCTTTTCGCCGTCGTCCGTCTGGCATTTTGATGGCGCACCGCCGGTAGTGGTCGTGCGATGGGCTACCAGCCTGGCGCCGTCAGGGGGAGGTTTGAGAACAACCTGGCCCAATGGACGATGCGCCTTTGTGTGGGAGACCCAGGTTTTGCTTTGCAATGGTGGGTATTTGTTCGGTGGTGGACAAGTTTAGGACTCAAATGAATGGTAACATAGGTTGGACGTGCTGAGGTATGTCAGTGGCTGTCAGGTTAACATGGCGGATTTTTTGTGCCGGCACGGCATCTTAGCAGGCCTCGACGAGATTACGACTAATCAGGGTCCCTCCAAGAAGAGCAATTGCGACAGCCACAGGTAGAGCCACGACGACAAGAACATGCCGTAGCTAGGACCGTCGGCTACACCTTAACCCCAAATAACCTACCGTTTTAGGGGCTTATATAAAGAAATCATATTGGGTGGCCCTAAAAAGGTAGGTTCCTTAGGGTCCAGGTAGAACGAGAACGGTCACGGTGATCGGCTTGACAGTACGCCGGCCCGTAGTCACAAGGAACAGGTGCGAACCATTGATGTCCTCCCGTCAGAGACTGCAATTTCGGAACGCATCTGTTGATGCTCATCGTGGTTCTGATGTGACGTGATAACTAGAAGCAATATTCCTTCAGTATACGCCCCGAAGCTTGAGTTTAATTGCTCAGTTCCCTAGATACTGCTGACCGAAATTCCGAAAGCGAACAAGGACTGGATGGTGGACAAGCTTGGGTGGAGCTTCATTGCCCCTTGGTAACAGGGTGCTGTAGATATGATCTCAGACATTAAGATGTTGGGACTCGTTTCAAGATTTCTGGCCTGTGGGGGGGGCTAAAGTTTTGAAGCTGCTCTAGAATCTGACGTAGGCTTCGCAAACGGTTGAGAACTCTATGACTCATCCCGGAAGCCCACAAGCAAGGCCGAAGCCCTAAACTCAAAAATGGTTCGTACTAGCAACTCTTCTTGTAGCATTCAGCAGGATGTTGCGGCCGTGCACTAGCAATCACTGCAGAAGCCAGGAGGAACAGGTCGTGGCAACGTGGGCATCTTGAGGGATGGATACATGGGAACAAATGCCGCCACCATGGCGTTGCTGGCAAATCACAAACGGGAGTTTCCGAAAATGAGGGGTACCTGATTATGGGGTCTTTACAATAAGGACCCTTCTGATTAGGATACTATATTAGAATCCCTTATCTTCGGAAACCCCCAAGTCAAAAAACCGGACCCATGTCTATACCCGGTATACTTAGAACAAAACTCATGTTCCAGCCTCTGATGCTGCGCGAGAAGACTTCAAAGCTGAGGTTTCATCCCTGTGCAACATGGGAGACTGTGGCCAGAATCGGCTAGAGCAGATCATCTTCCGTTTCGACGGACTGGATGTCGGATTTGGGCTTAGGGTTTAGCTACTGCTAAGTACTATGCGATACGTAGCAACTGCTTTTAATCCTACACCCACTCCTTCCTACGACTACTGCTTCCTACTACTTCGTTACTCCCTACTCCTACTACTACTACTACCACTACTACTACTACTACTACTACTACTACTACTACTACTACTACTACTACTACTACTACTACTACTACTACTACTACTACTACTACTACTACTACTACTACTACTACTACTACTACTACTACTACTACTACTACTACTACTACTACTACTACTACTACTACTACTACTACTACTACTACTACTACTACTACTACTACTACTACTACTACTACTACTACTACTACTACCACTACGACTACGACTACGACTACGACTACGACTACGACTACGACTACGACTACGACTACGACTACTACGACTACGACTACGACTACTACTTACTACTACCACCACTTCTTCTACCACCACCACCACCACCACCACCACTACTACTTCTACGTTTACTTGTACTTCTACTACCACCACCACCACCACCACCATCACCACCACCATCACCACCACCACTACTACTACTACTACTTCTACTCGTACTTCTACGTCTACTCCTCCTGCTTCTATTTCTACCTCTGCTTGTCTTCTACTACTGCGTCTACTACTGCTGCTGCTTTTCTTGCTTCTGCACTCGAACGACGACTTCCGCCAGCGCCAGGAGACAAGCGAGCCCTGCCCGTCTCCAAGGTGAACAATCCGTCGGATGAGTTGGGAGCTCGGGATGCAGTCGTTTAGGAGTTTAGGGCTCAAGGATCAGAGCTTCCTGCATCTCGTCTCCGTGGTTTTTGTGTCCTCTTCATGGGTTTGCCACAGGCTTTGCGATTACGACATTCTGGGAAAGCGCTTCTGGCTTCATCGGTCCCTAAACCCCTAAACCCTAAACCCTGAACCGTAGCCATTTTGGCTCAAGCCTAGCCACTGGCCCAATCTGCCAAAGCGATTGCTTCTTGACACTCTTTCGGGACATGCACTTGTCGACCTTGCTAACATAAAGCTTGTCTACAAGCAGGGCAACTTTGTGGCCTACGCCGAGCTGGCCTCACTGCTTGGACAGAACTGCTGCAGTGGCCACAATGGCAAAGCTGTCCAGCACTTTGTGGACAGCCAGCTCGGTGAGCTACCTCGCCCTTTGGGTGCACCGGCACCGAAGGTCTGCAAACCTGTGAGTGAGAATGGAAGCAAAGGTGCAAAATTTATGTTGCACGTGGATGTCGTTGTGGGTGACAAAAGCGTCGGCGAACATCACACAAGGAGTCTCCGCATGCGCTCCAGGTGGACTCACACTCCGAAAGAAGCTGAGCGCGGAAGCACCGCGGAAAGAACTTCGAAAGGACAAGACCAAAGCCATGTCAGACTACCTGGCGGACGCTGTGTCATTCGTTGGGGGCTCTCCCAAACGGCTGGAGCTATTTGCTTGCAACTCGCCAGCCATAAGCGGTGTATTCGAGCGAAGTGATTGCAAGAAGAGCCCGTAGCTGTGCGAGTGCGCTTGTTTTGTCCAAAGCACGTGAGTTTCATAATTCCCTGGGCTAACACAGCCCCTCACGTGCTTCAAACACTCATTTAAGTTATGCATGCTTGTCTGTGAAGCAGAATCACATTAAAACGATTTTGTCTTCAGCCTGCGTTTTGGGACCCTTGGGATCCTTGACAGTGCTGCATTGCCACGTTCTGTCCGTCGAACGTGTAGCTGCCAATGACCGCGTCAGCAAGAAAAAAAGTCAGGGTGAATCAGTGGGGGTTTCTGAACAAACATACCCCATGGACGTCGCTGACCAAGGGGGCAAGTGAAGGGATTCAGGCGAGTGCATCAACAGATGTGAATACCGAAAGGGAAGGTCACGAGTGGCAGCAAGTCATGAGACGAGTGTGCCGTTTCTTTTCAAACGTGGCCAACTGTGCCATGTCTTCCTGGCTGTCAAAGCCTCTCAGGACCTGCGGGCACCGGAGAAAAGGAGTTCAATAAAAACCTTGAACCGGTTCAAAAACTTCGGGAGGCTTGTAGCTGCGAGAGGCCAGGGCAGCAGGCTACACGTAAACCCTAAACCCCGGGCCCCCTAAACCCTGAACCCTCGGTGCATCAACATCAGCAAGCAATCGAGCTGCCCATAGTCATCGTTTGACCCCTGAACTGGCCGTGAACTTAAGCTTGGTTCTGTCGTGTCGAAGGATCGGGATGTCTCGCTGGTGTGACTGTCACACGTCACAGTAGCAATCTCGACCTCATGGGTCCTTGCCTGCCTTCGTGCGAGGGCGGGAGTCGAGTCCCCAACCCCCAAAAATCAAGTCTGACACTGCCTTGAGCTTTTTATCCCGAGAGCTTGCTTCCAGAGCATTATAACTGACCAAGCCCCACACGCGATGTTTCTCATCTCTTGGGCAGCTAGTGTTAGAATTTCGGGGTTTAGGGTCTAGGGTTTAGGGGTTTAGGGTTCAGGGGTTTAGGGTTCAGGGGTTTAGGGGTTTAGGGTTTAGGGTCCAGGGTTGCGGCAGCGGAGCCTGACGAGCCCAGAAGGCTTGCGGGTGTCTCGGTGCAGACGAGCTTGGCTGCTGGATCCGCACGAATTCGAGAAACAGACCCTTTCTATGTTCTTCGTGGGTTTGGTGATCGCTTTTTTGTAGCTAACTTGCTGGTCCTAATCATGATCTTAAGCCAAGAGCATGTGATGAGCAACACTCGCACCGTCAGTCGGTTCGGTTGCGATGGGTTGTGTACATGGGTGGTTTGCGAAGAAGTCCTTGCAGAAAGCCATTTGTTCGGAGCACCCTCGGTTTTCTGCGTCATGTAGCCCCCAACGGCCTACTTTTTTTTCAGTGACATATCATGGACAGGAGATCATAAGTTCGAGCCTTAAGGTGTCTTGCCAGGGTTCAGGTAAGCCAAACAACCGTTTAGCCCCTCCGCTTCGAGGTTCATGGATTCGCCTTTCCCCGACTACTGGAGCTGTCAGGAGGCGGGCCAACTTTGGCTCAACTTTAAATACTCTCAATTTGCAAGCTTGATCCCATTGAAACCCCGAGCCCTAATCACTGAAGCCCTAGATCATGATCTTGGAAGATGTGACCTTCAACAGATCTTCACCCCTATCGGGCAGAAGTCTATACGGCTCTAGACCCCAAAACCCTATTCTAGTCATGAGAGCCTCCATATTATGCTTAAACCCTAGACCCTAAAACGCTAAGCCAATGTGAAGAAGGCCCTCTCTGGCCTCAGTTGAGAGCTACGCATCAAGCCTTCTCTCGTGACCCTTCGGAGAACACTAAAGCTAAGAGCTTAGAGCCCGATGGCATATATAGCTCATGATACTACATATATCGCTGTTTTTCATCGGTTGCTTGAATATATTGAAGCTCATGTATGAGATCAGAAATATTTGCTTGCAGAGGTTCTGGAGCGGCAGGAGGTTCACAAGGTGCGAACTTGCGCTGCCGAGGAGAAGGCAGTCGACCTACCGAGTTCTCGGGTTTGAGTTAGCCTAGTGCGTGGTTGTCAAAATTAGGGTCCCTTTTTGGGTCCATATTATAGTACGGCACCTAATATTTAGGGTACCCCAAAAAGGGACCCTAATTTTGACAACCACCCATGTAGACTTGTTGTGCTTGTGTGCTTGTTTTGGTGTTCCTTCGGAAGTTTAAACTCTTGGGCAGGCGTGCTGCAAGACTTTCGTAGCTTAGCGATCGTGTCCTCTGACCGGTGAACCCAGCCATGTAAAGTGCGGCATCCTTCACATCATGTTGCCAAATTGGAGTAACCTTATCGATCCCCCTATAGTAGCCCTTTAAAGGAACCCTATTTTAATTCCTAATTCCTACATTAGCTTCGCTTTAGGACTCCAGCTGGACCTGGACCCTGGATGCTGAATCCTCGCCTGCCTGACCTTGCAGGAGTCGTTGCAGCAACTGGTAGATGCCACTTTCCGGAGAATCCTGACCAGAGATCGGGTCCCGGATGATGCCCCGATCTCAGACCAAGCTCAGGCTTTGTGTGTTAGCGTCTGCGCAGGGAAGTAGAGTGCATGTCTTTTTGCAGTCGCTAAGCTCCAGCTGCACAAAAATTTACCAGCTCCGACATGTGTGTTCGCCTGTGTTTCAGCCGTCATTCCCGTCAAAGCCCGATGCAAGGATGCTGTCGACGACGAGGAGATGCCCTACCGGATCGAGGCGGAAGCTCTGAGTCTGAGTTCGATAATTTGCGTATCAGTCCCGCAGTGCTGGTTAGATCGGGTTTCGAGGTCACAGCCAGTCAGAGCCTTCAGCCCTAAAGGAAGCCTTAGAGAGATGCTTAATCAAGTTAAAAGAACCCTGTTATGGTACCCTAATCGTGCCCTTAGAGCTGTCCAACATACGACCACAAAGGAGGAATGGTGCAGTGGTTATTGCACCCTGCGCGATGCGACGGGTCTTTGCAAGGGCCTCCAATTTTCCGCAGAGCACACCGAAACACGAGGCTTCAAAAGAAACACGTGGGCCGCGCAACTTGGAGAATCCGGACAGGTTGTGACGTGCGTGGGGGGGGTGTGGGCTGAAGCGGGCTTGGGGGCACCCCGTTCGGGAGCCGGTCGCTGCAGTAAGTAATGTTGTAGGGCTTGTATGGTACGACCACTATGAGGCATTGCCATGTGGACTTCTTGGAATAGGGATGTATATTTTTGCCGGGCAACAGAAACTTCATTTGTTTTATGTTTTTTGGATTGAGAACTGTACTTTAGCCACCGATTATTTTGATTTCCCACACCAAGATGTAAAACTTTTTGACTTTGTCGCAGAACTTTAATTACTATTGGGCAGTTTGTTCCATGTGGCATGTCCCTGGTAGATTGATTTTCACTGTGCAGTGCATTAGGCGGTTGATCATGAGAGGTGCCTGCATGCACTGTGTTGCACGATAGATTTTTGCGTTTTGCCTGCATCGACTCATGTGACGCATGCCGCTTCAGTCTTGCATGTTGCCCGTATGAGGTCATGTGCAAGGGCTATGATGCATGAGCATTTGTTCATGAAATCTTGCTGCCTGCATTACCATATCGCATGGTAGCGTATTTTGGTGTTTCTTTTTTCCTGCATCTGCATGAGCTCATGTGCAAGCGGCATCATGTGCATTCATGGCATTCTTGCATGCTGGCTTGAGTACTGTTATCACGGTGGCATTTTGCATGCCTCAGCTAGTGTGCCTGGTTCTGCTGCAACTTCTTTGCTGGCACCCTGTTGCGCCGTTGCGGAGTGCTGGCACGAGTTCAGGTGCAGTGTGTGTTGCCTTTGCGTTGTGGCTCAGGGGTCGCCGCGGCCGATTGCAGCTTGCTATGTAAGTGCTTTTGGGCCCAGGGGGTGCGGCTTGCTTGCGCACCTGGGATGATCTTGCTGCGCTGGATGTAGTGCGTGTGTGCACCGTGGAGGTACAGTATCTCTATTGCCACTGCCACACTGCGCTATCGTTTGCAATGCTTAAGCTGCTTATACTGTCGCTTAGCGTAGCTATGTTTGCGCTGCTCAGACTACATGCTTTCGTTGCAGTCCCTGGCAAGCACTGGTCAGTAGACACTACACGGTACTTCAAGCGCGTGGTGTCGACGGTTGCCGCATGTGCCACATGTGCAGTCATGCAGTCAGGTTTGCCGCAGTTTGCGTCTGTTGCAACACAAGCTTTTGCTCATGCTCATGAATGCTCATGTTGACTCATGTTTGGTTGCCGCACGCGCCTCTGCTCGTAGCACTTCCAAAGTGTCACACTGTCACAATCAATCAACTACTTAGTTGGGCTGTAGCTTCGTTGCAAGCCACGGACTGTAGGTAGACGTATAGATTATAGGATTGCACAGGACCCTCACGTGTTTCAGTTTCATTGATTTCAATCACATAAGATAATCACATGCATGAGAGCATGCATTATGAAGTTCATTGAAGATCATGATTCATGACGCATTTTAAGCATTCATCGGGTAGGCTTTTGCTGACCGGTCTCCCTGTCTCACTCATGGCGGCCCATCCCGCCATTTCGTCAGTGTTATTTGCTCTCGGGCAAAAAGTTAGAACATCCAACGTTGGCGGGGTCATATCCAAGGCGGACTTGCTTGACGTGATCGTTGTATTTTGCGATTCGGAGGCATCGGGTTCGAATGCGGTTCAACGTACTCGTGAGGTGGTGCAACGTAGAGTGAATCGTTGGTTGAAGACGAACTCTCCGGAAAGAGCCGGCTATCTACACATTGTCGACGGTCTCCGGGCACCGCTCTCTGTGGAGTATTTTGGTCCTGATGTTGTGGTGGAGGTGCTCCGGCATTTCGGAGCCGTTATCACAGATGAGTCTCGAGGTGACTTTGTGCACAGGATGCAAGGGAGTGACAGTGCCACAGGAGAGGACATGGCAATTCATCTTGATCCTCACCCGGCTCCTGCTTGCCCAAATGCACCCATCAGTCGCATGGGTTCCATGGAATCCGAAGGGGCTGCTCGGACTGGCCGTGATGATGATGATGCTGAGAGTGGTGCTGCCGCTGCTGCTGCTGCCTCTTCTGGCACAGATGCAGTTGCGATGTTTGACCCTGAATTTCATCCTGTGCCTGCTGGTCCTGCCGTTGCAGCTGCAGAGGGAGAAGCGGCCGAAGATAATGTGCACAAAAGAAAAAAACGCAGGGTTAGGGGCAACAGTGATTCTGTGGCAACACTCTTTGATGAGTACAAGCAGAAATATCAACATTATTCCCACGATGATCTTGTCAGAGAGGTCATGTTGCATGAGAAGAATTGCACCCAATTTCGAGAAGACAGCTTGGCCAAAGATGGGACCATACAGAATCTGCAGAAGAAGTTGAAGACTGCACAACAACAACTTCGGCGAATAACGAAGGCCAAGACGAGAGCGAAAGCAAGAGCAGCATCAGCAGCATCAGCATCCACAAAAAGGAGAGCCAAAGGACAGCGACAGCAGCATGAAAGCAACACCTTGCCAGACTACCTTCGGGCTAAGCAGAAGTTGGCGATCACGCGGACAGGCGCGGGTGAAGATGCTCCAGGTAGATACCTCACGGTCCCTAGTACGGTGGCCCTGGCTTTGAGACGGAACTTGAGCAACGTGTCCTGTGCTGACCTGGGGTTGGTAATTCTGGACGACGCTAGCAGGTGGAGTGTGTCTAGGTCAGAGGTAAGGGCTGGGGCAGCTGCCACGGCTTTAATGCGTGAGTGGCATGCAGGGATGCTCCAGGAGATGTTTCATCCAGATGGTGCAGAGGATTTCAATCTGTCTTTGCACATCGTGTCCCAAGATGCAACGAATTCTGGAATCTGGCAAAAGCGCAAGTTGATTGCTCTTTTGTGTCATTCTGCCTATTTGGTGTCGTTGCCGTCCAAATTCAGATGGTCCTGGCATGACATGTTTCGCGAAATTCGGGCCATTGCAGATGTGCAACCAGTGGAAGATGGAAGCGGCCAAGGCTCTGTTTCGATGACGACAAAAATGCTAAAGAGCATAAACTGCCCGACAGTGCATGACTTGGTTGCCAAGCATGCAGAGCTTAAAGCCGATGGTCAACAGCGTCAACAGCATCAACCCTCAGATGAGAAGCCCGCAGACGCAGATGCGAAGTTCCTTTGCGTAGAGTGGCAGCTGTAAGTCCGTAAGTAAGTTTTGCAATGTGTGTCGTGCGTTGATTTCGTGAGTTGACGTGTTTTTGTCTATCGGGAAACACGACAACATGACAACATACCCACTCCACATCTGCCCAAGTCCGGCCTGAGTCCTAAACCGAAGCCAAGACCTAGACAACCTAGATTGCCTAGTAGCCTAGACTGCATCCGCCTGTCTGTCTATGTTTATGTTGTCTGTACATTGCTGCTAAGGCGGGCTGACGACTCTGTCCAGTGGCCTGTCCATGTCTATGTCTTTGTGACAGACAGAGGACCAAATGAAGTTCTTGCGCGCAAGATATGGCAGTGTGTCAGCTCTGCATGTGAGCACGTGGTGGTGCTAGGAAGTGATTGCCTGGAGCATGCAGCTCATTTGGTCACAGTCAGCTCACTTAAGCTCGTTGACAAGCTCTTGCCATTGCAATTCGAAGGGAAAGGTCGTGCATGGAAGTACTTTTCATCGCTTGCGACTTTCTCCATCACCGTGCGGGATTCATCCAAAGACTTTTTCCAGATGTGGTGTCAAGAACACGGAGATTTGTCCGGTGTCAAGCACGCCAAAAGTCTTTGGCCGAAGTGCGTGGCAGGACGTTGGAATTCCTGCAGCGACGTTGAGCGTCGAATGCACGATTCTGGTGGGCAGGCTACGGTTTTACCGGTGATGCGACGACTCATGGGAGCCAAGCGCGAGGCGGCGCCAGCTAAAGAACACCAGAGCATCGACGAGATTGCTGTAGAGGAGACTGCTCATTACACCCAACAGATGGGCAGGTGGCGTGCCACCACCCTCAAATGCGTGGAGGACCCGTTGTGGTGGACAGTAGCTGAAGCTATGAGGATGGCACGTTCGCCTGCACTGCACCTCTCGGTTCCTCGCGGCTTGCAGTCTGCAGCATGCATTGTGACATTGTGTGGCTGTGTGGCTGTGGCAATGCAATGCTTATAAAGTCTTGTAGTGATCTGTGATCTGTGCGCAGACAGACAGACAAATACGAACAGATGCGCGCCCGCCCGCCCGCCCGCGCACACACACACACACACACACACACACACACACACACACACACACACACACACACACACACACACACACACACACACACACACACACACACACACACACACACACACACACACACACACACACACCACCACACACACACACACACACACACACACACACACACACACACACACACACACACACACACACACACACACACACACACACACACACACACACACACACACACACACACACACACACACACACACACACACACACACACACACACACACACCGATACCCACACACCCACGCCCACACCCACACCCACGACCCACGCCCACGCCCGCACCCACACCTAGACGCACATGCAGCACATGCACACGCACACGCACATGCACACGGTGCACACGGGCATGTGCTGCTGGATGCGCCTCCGCAATGCTTGCCTGCAGTTACTGCCTGCAGTTGCTCAATCGTTTTCGTCGTAGATGTCCGCACATGGCACGCGGCAGCAGCAGTCATGGTCGGTCATGGTGACATGCCATCTTTTGTTGGAAATCTGTTATCTGATGTTGAACTGTTGCTTGTTTAGCCACGTTTCATGTAGGGTCACGGTCGCATGTGCCTGATGCAGTTTCAAACATCACGGTGGCAATCGGCGCGAGTACATCAACAGTCAGAGTATCAGAGTAGGCTGTCTGAACGGATGAGTTATCAAGTTATCAACATCATCTTCATCTTCAACTCATGTTCAAAGGAAATGATCATTGATCGATATCGGATCAGCACCATCACTGCGGTCATCGCCGGGTACTTCCTCACACAACCGTTCATCCGTTCCTCTTGACTCTCATGTCGTCTCATGTCTCATATCTGCTGCTAGCTCTCAGGCTGTCAGGCATATGTGTTGACTCGACCATGTTTTGTTGTCGCGTTCTCACTGTGT